AGTGATTATAAAATGTTACACCGACCATTTACCTGTTAGATCACCCTCCCCATCTAGCTCTGCCCAGGAGAAGCCTGCACTCAAGTCAGGGGCAGCCATGGGCTCTGGTCTAAAGAGGCCATGACTGAGCCATCAAAAGGCTCGTGTGAAGAAGGCTCATGGTCCACTCAAATCGGTTAGTTATCTTCCAGTCAGTCACCCAAGAGAAAGGCAACACAGGGGTTGGTCACTCTGGCACCAACACAGAAATCCAAAGAGTAAGTGAGCATGCTCTACTAACAAGATGACAGCTCACCGAGAGACACATTGAAACACAAGAATCTCAGTTCAGGCTAGAAGCAACTTGGCAGGAAAGCATGGACTCAGCATGAAAAGCCCTGGGCTAAAACCTCAGAAAAAAAGACCAAAAAACCCAGGGTACACCTACAACAGGTTACAGAGCACAGGGGTAGAGTTTGAATCCCGTATCCTCCACATCTAAAGGAGGAAGGGCTTTGCATGATGTGGTACATCAACAGTACCAGCTATTTGGGAGGCTGAGGGAAAAACGACAGCTTGAGCTCAGGAGTTTAGGGCTAGCCTGGGCAACATGGTAAGATCTTAAATCAAATCAAATAAATAAGTAGGTAGATAAAAAAAAAAAAAAACTTGAGTCCCTGCTATAAGGTGGGTAAACATTAAGAACATGACACTTAAGAGAAATAAGCCAGTCATAAAAACACTAATTGTGATTGTACCCAATGCGAGTCACCTAGAACCTTCAACTTCATAGCAACAGAAAGGAAAGTGCTGTTGTCACACGCTGGGAGCAGAGTGTGTTGTCTAACAGGGACAGGATTTCTGTGAAAGTGACGGGTGTACAATATGAACACACTCGGGGTCACAGAACTGCATGCCTAAAAAATGGTCAGAACAGGCTAAGAAAGTAAGTATTTTGTGTTTAGTCGCTTTAGAAAACCTCTGCTGGTATGTGTGCCTCTTAATCCAGCACCTGGGAGGCAAAAGCAGGCCGAGCTCCGAGTCTGAGGCCAGCCTGCTCTTCACTGCACGTCTGCAGCCAGCCAGGGCTACACAGTGAGACCCTGTCTCAAACTAACAAAGCCTCCTGCTCTGAGCACACGCTCTTCCCTTGGCTCTCACTAGCTCACTTCCATTCTCAGCATTGCTTTCCCCTTGATAAATGTTTTCTCTTTCTACTTCTTTAAAAATAAAATTTAAAAAAAAAATTTTTTTTTTGAGATAAGCTCTATGTAACTCAGGTTGGCCTCAAACAATCCCACCTCAGCCTCCTTCGATGAAATGGCAGATTTTTATATTCTATCATATTTTTTAGTTTAAAAATAAATCTATAATTCCAGTACTTGAGAGGTAAAGGGAGAGGGATCAGGAGTTCAAAGCCAGCCTAGGCTATTTAGTAAGACCCTGTCTCAATACTGTCCCCTCCCAAACACATATAAACTCCAGAGTCACAGAAGGGGAACTTGGGACGCTAGTCTTTTGTTGCCACTCTTGAACAGATAGCTCGCCACATCTTTGGCTGCTGGGCTCATGCTAATATACCAAGAAAGTTGTGAGCATCCCTGATCTCCCATCTGTCTAAACACGGAAACATGCATCCCCTCCCCTCTTAACTTCTAAGCTTCCTGATGGCAAAGACCACATCTTTTCCTTCTCTGTGGCCTACACAGGACCAAGGGAAGGGTTTTACATAAAGAAGGGCCCACGGCCGTCTGTTTTCACCTTCACAGGTGTGGATGCACCAGGACCCCAAACACACACAGTTATAGGATTTTCAGGTACTTCCTGGTACTGGGCACCCGGAAGAAGCAGAACATGGTACCATGACCAGAAGGCCTGGAGCTCTGTATTCACACACCCAAGGACTTCAATTTTGCTATGTCTTGGTTGCATCCTGATATAGATGGACAGCCCACCACCAGGTGATGGATGAGCTCATGAGGGATCTTGCATGAAGCACCTTGTCAAGGTGCCCAGCACAGAGCACTGTGTGATAGTTTCAGCTCCTTCCCTTAACGTCCCTGGCAACTCATCTGAAGGGACTCGAAAATTACAAGAGACAGGCCACTGTGCCTGCCCTGACAGAACATTAAGGTGACCTCCCCTGCCCCCACATACACACACACACTGTCATTTTCCTTACTGTTCCTTTTAGGCCAGTAGGCCCCACGGCCATCTAATGAACATCAGTAAGTAGCCCCAACAGAGACAGATGGCTGAGCAGTGACAGGGACCCTTTTCCCCTCCCATAGAGGACAGAGAAGAGTGTTCAGCACAGTTCTTTGGGCTACAACAGCTGGGCATGTTAAGGCCAAAAAGAACTAAACTCACGCAGTGCACAACACTGAGAGAGAGTCCTAACATAAACTATGCGCTGCAAGTGATAATGATGTGTCGATGTTGGTTTATGAGCTGTCACAAACGCACCCATTTAGTGGAGGATGTTGCTATCAGGGGAAATAGGTGTGGTGGCATGGGGTAATGGGAAGGTCTGTATGCTTCCCATCCATTTTTGCCATACACCTCAAAGTGCTCTGATAACTTTAACTATTTAAAAAATGGTCTAAGAAATAATGTAAATCTTGCTTCGAGCACTCCAGTTTATTATTGGATGGTTCACTGTGGTATTGGAAATCGAACCCAGAGTTCACACCACTACTAAGCCACATCTCAACTCTTTTAGATTATGCTGTTCGATCTTAATTGTTGAAAATGTCTGAGGACACTTTCCATGTTAGAACACGCTTTTCTTTTCTTTTCTTCTTTTTTTGTTTTTTTTTCGAGACAGTGTAGTTTTGATGCCTGTCCTGGATCTCACTCTGTAGACCAGGCTGGCCTCGAACTCACAGAGATCTGCCTGGTTCTGCCTCCCGAGTGCTGGGATTAAAGGTGTGCGCCACCAGCGCCCGGCTTGGAACACGCTTTTAATCCCAGCACTTGGGAGGAGGAGACAGGTCGATCTTTGTGACTAAGAGGCTAGCCTGGTCTACAAGGCCAGTTCTAGCACAGCTAGGGCAACATAGTTAAGTTTTAAGACCCTGGCTCAAAAAATAAAAAGGGAAGTGCTGGGATTAATCCCAACACTCGGGAGGCAGTAGCTGCAAAGTAAAGGCCAGTGGTGGTCTACACAGCAAGTTTTAAACTACACAGGTCTTCACCTATCTCAAAAAGGCACAAAATAATGTTCTAGGGAAAAATAAGAGAGAAAGTGGGGCTTCAGGAGTCAAAGAAAGATTCAAAAAGTTCTACAATATGAAATTAACTTCTAAGCCACTTCCTGAGAAAACTAACCTACATGTCTCTTGGGCCCCACCTCCTTCTCGTTCCTACTGTGACCTACTCTTGCACTTGGGTCTGATTATGTGGTGGGCAACATGGCCATTTCTACGGCAGGTATAGGAAAGTCTAGGCTCAACTTTGTGGAAACTCAAGCGTTCCCTGCCAGCAAGAGAGGGTCTCCATGGAAGCCTTTCATGCTCTTCTTTATTCCTAACATCGCCAATCACCACAGCACTGAAGGCCAGCTCAAGCAAGTTCAACTCGCACGCAGCTGGCTGGACATGGCCGGTGCCCAGTCATCCCCTGGGCAAGCCTCCAGACCTGGAAGGAGCTCATTGACATGCCTGCAAAGCAAACTTCTGACTCCTAGAGCTTCTCATCCTTCCACTAGGGACAAGGAATGTGGCTGAACCAGGGTACAGGCAGACAGGTCCAGCTACACACTGCCCTCAACCCAGATGCCCACAGAAGAGCAGCAACTGGAGGCACCTAACCAGGACAGAGTGCTGGGCTTAAAAAGGCAGCTTAATACTGCCAAAAATAGCCTCGCTTTTTCAAGCGGATTCTGACAAATGAAGCACATGCACCTCCATCAGCAGGGGGAAAAAAAAAAAAACCTCAGCGAAGCAAAAAGACCAGATCAGTCGGACACAGACAAGAACTCCTAGAGATTGCTGGCAGCTGTACAGCCCCCAAATCCCATGCCTGCCAGCACCCCTCCCATCTTACTCCAACGGAAAATTCTGCCTAGATCTCAAAATCTAGTCCCATGACCCCACCTATCCAATGGTACCTGTGTGCAGCAAAGAAGTCACTGGTTCGTTTTAGTGCTGGAGTCAGACCATGGATTTGGGGCCCCCAACAAGAACCTGTTGAGGGCTCATCCTTGGGAACACCAGGAGGCCAGGGCACACTGGAGGACCGGAAAAGAACGTGGGGTCTGGAGATGTAGCTCTGACCTCATGGTGTAGGGGTAGACCTAGTGGCCTCTCAAAGGTGTCAGGCAGCGGGTTTGAGCCCCAGCACCGCGAAAGAGAAAGACAGACAGACAAAATCCAACGGCGGTGGATGGAGGGCAAGGAGGAGTCTATAGGTGAGTGATGGTGGGCGAGGCATATCAAAGCCAAGCCGATGGGGATGGCGTGGGATTGGCCCCACATACAACCTCCAACCTATTTTCAGTGGCCCGCTGCTGCCAGAACTCACCTCACCCCCTTCTAGCTATCTTCATCTGCTCTCACCGCTAACGAGGGAATCCGACACAGCTAAGAGTTCCAGGCAGCTTGCACATCTTGGGTTCCCCTAACGTGTGTCACATAACCACTCCAAGACCAGAACAACCAGGTGGCAGGGAATAGCCAAGCACAGATCCCACCCCACTTAAAGAAGCTGATCTAGGTGGCAGAGATGACTCTGACTTTTTTTTGTCCAGCATGAAGAGAGCATAGGACACTCTCTCCCAATACTTCCGCAAACCCCACCTGCTCTATAGAGCTAGAGAGTAAGCCAACAGCCATCCCCCCATAGTCCCCCACCCCCATCCTATTTGCCTTCAGGAGGAAGGGGGTGGAGTTAGTTGGGGCGCAGGGCCAAAGGAACACAAAAACACTTGAAAATCACGCCAAAAAGTACCCATTTCCCCCATGCCAATCTACTGCATAAAGAGTCCAGAGCAGGTCTAAGTAACCCACACAGGCACTCACCTGCATCCCCCTGGAAGGTGCTGTCCCCATCACTGGGCCAGATCTGCCCGGTCTTGCGGACACCAACGATGGTAGCCTCAGACACCACAACCTGGCACGGCCGGTGCCGCTTCTGGCACTGTGGCGTCGGGGGGCTGCTGCTGTCAAAGGACTGCTGCGAATTCTGCGAGGGCGAGCGGCTCTTGTCCCGGAACATACGGTAGGTGGTGGGGCTCGGGGACACGCGGCTGGACTGGCCAGAGGAAAAGTCCTCCTCGCTGGAGGTGAGGTTCTCATTGGAGCTGCAATCCGGGGTGTAACCACCTCCGCTGTCCTCAAAACTCCGGGGAGAGTAGGACCTGCGGGGCCAGGTGAGGCGCTTCTCCTGCTCTGAAGTGCTCTGGCTTCGCAGGAGCGGGCCCTTGCCCTCCCCTTCCATCATCATACCTCCGACGTAGATGCTCTGGTAGGGTTGGTACTCCAGGGGCGGCCAAGGGGGCCTGTTGCCGCCGTTGGCATTGATTAGGTTGTCCTTCAGGAAGCGGGGGTTCAACTCTGCATCCTCGTAGTCACCGTCGAGGGCGCAGCTGCTCTCCGAGGAGCGCCCGCGATAATGGGGTCTGGGCGCTTCCCCGGGACCCTGCCCGGTGCTCTGCTGGGACTTCTTGCGCTCCATTTGCATGGCCTGGCTGCCCAGAGAACTGATCCGGTCGGACACCTCTTTGTCGTTGACCTTCACCAGGCCGCGCTCGTGGTGGAACTCGACGTTCACGTAGAAGGGCTTCTCGGCGTCGGCAGAGCCGGGCTGGGCAGGTCCCTTGCGGATCTTCTCGAAGTTGGATCTGAGCGCCGCCACGCTGGTGGGGGGTCCTCGGTCGTCCCGGTCCGCCGGGGCAGCAGCCGCTGGCCTGCGGGCGGACGCCGGCCGTGCCTTACCCGGAGACCCCTCTCCGTCCGGCCGCGCCTCGGACTCCTCGACGGGCGCCGGCTCTGCGCCATCGGCGGGAGCGGGCGGCGGGCGTGGGGCGGCCGCTCGCGGCTCGGCGGCACCGTCCGGGGGCTGCGCGGCGCGGCGGAAGCCCCAGCGCTGCCGGTCGTAGCTCTTCTTCTCCTTGGCCAGCAGCGTCTGCAGGTAGATCATGCGGAAGCGTTCCTGGTTCACCTCCTGCTCCAAGCGCCTAATGGAGGCCTTGCAGCGCTCCAGCTCCTGCTCGATGTCACCCACCGAGCGCAGCTCCATGCGCGGCGGCTCCGAGTCCGGGAACTGCGCCCTCCACGCCTCGGCGAAGCCCACGGAGTCCACCATGGCGCGGCCGGCTCACCTGCGCCGCGGGGCTGCACGCCGGAGCCCGCCTTACCGGCGGCGCGGCATTCTCATCGGGCCCGACCCGGGGCGCCCCGCGGCTCCCATGGCCCCGCGGCGGCGGCGGCGAACAATGCTCGCCCCCCGGGGCCGCAGGTGAGGAGGACGGCTCGGCGGCGGCGGCGGGGGCGGTGGGGGGGGGCGCGGACGGGGGGGGGGGAAGGGCGCGGGATTGCGCACGCCGCTATTGTGTGCGGGGCTCCGCGGCGCGCGCAGCGGCGGGAGCCGTCCTCCGCCAAGCCGGGCCGCCGCGGGCTCACGCTCGCAGCCCGAGCGCTCCTCGCCTCCGGTTCCCGCGCCGCCCTGCCCGCAGCCCCGCTGCCCCGCAGCCTTCCTGGCAGGCGCGGCGATCAGCCCGGCCAGCTCTCGCCGCACTCCCGCCCCGGCCCGCACTCAACGCCGCAGGAAGGGGAGGACCGGGGGGCGGTGGCCGTGGAGCGGCTGACGGGGGCCGGGCGCGCCTCTTAAAGGGGCCGCACCGCGGGCGGAGCATTGGGTCCTTGAAACAGACCAGCACGGCGGCGGCTACCCGATCTAATCCCACTCTGGACACAGGGGCGCCCCAGACCGGGTGGTTGCGAGCGATCCCTCCACCGGGGAGGCCCTGGCTAGTTCTTCACGCCTAGAACGGAAATATCTGGTTCCTCTTTTCTGCGCTGCCAGAGCACCTACCAACCTCGGTGCTGATAGCACCCAGCAGGGTCCAAACTACAGAGAAATCAACTAGGTCACACTCAGTTGAGACAGTCAGGGCCAGGCTGGGTCACCCATGCCAGCAGCCCGTGTGCCAGCCAACAAGCCTCTGGTGTTGGAGATCTGGGGTGGGTGATAAAACTTAACAATGGCCACACAGTTGCCACAGGACTCCTTACACTGAGTGATAAATAGGAATGTCTCTCCCTCGGCTCATTCAAGGCGTCTTCCTCCTGACTTTTGACCTCCAGAGGCCAATGTAGGATTTTCGGGGTCTCTTTCTTTCTCTGAAGGGATCACAAACTTCTTTCTTAGCCTCGGAGCTGGGAGGAAGATAGGAAATCTTTGAAGGTTCCCAGGGAAGCTTAGGGATCTGAGGCACATAGCAGAGATACTTACTCTCTGTAGGGAATCTAATCTATGCAAAAATGAAATCCAGGCCAGCCTGCTGGGTGAGGTGAAAGGAAACAGGATTTGGCAACTGAAGAAGAGCCTGAGTTGACCACTTTTTCCTCTCCGTGCCTCACTTTCCCGAGAATTGAGATAAACCCAGAACACCTGCCTCCACAAGCTGTGATTTCCCTGGTTTGTAAACAGTTGCGCTTTTCTAGCGAAATAGAGCCGAGGAGCCGCGGCTAGATGAGCAGGGTCTCCCTGGCTTAGACCGTGTGGTCTCGGTGATTCCCTTTCCCTCCCTGGAGCTCACGTTCGTCCTCCTCTGTAGCGATGTTTTTCCGGCACCCATGGGTTCAATCTATGTTCACGTTGGCGAGGCTGGCGAGCCTTTGGAGCCCAGCTCAGAACTCCGTGCAGCTCGCTGCTGCCCTCTGCAGACCTTTTTAATCTCTGGTTTCCCTCCTTCCTCGCCCACCTCACCCTTCTCTGGCTCAGCAGGCAGTAAACAACACAATTGCTGAGGAAGAAACAGTTTTGCTGGTGACCTGACTTTGAGGCCATTGAGGCGAGCATCCCAGGAGCGCGGTAGTGAGCAATGTTCTCCTCTTCAGTAGCCTCCCCTTTAAAATGAGTGTAAAAAAGCCTGCTCCTCGGTGGGGGCATGGCTCAGTGGTAGAGGTCTTAAGAGGTCTTATTTGGCAAGACAAGCCCATGGATCAATCCCCAACGCTACCAAAAAAAAAAAAAAAAAAAAAAAAAAAAAGGAAGCCGTGACCTCCCAGGGTCACAATCAATACTAGCTGCCGCCTGTAATGATCTGATGGGAGTCGTTCAATAAGTGGGCCAGGCAAGATGAGAACTCGGGCCTCTGGAACCCTATTTCCTGGCCATCTGAAAAGAGACAAAATTCTTTTTCCCTTGTTGATTTGGGTCTTTCAGTTTCCAGTAGGCTCGTTAGGGCCCATATAGCTGTTAATGTGTGGAACAGGAAGGAGTACTTTGGTGGAGGTGGATGACATCACCCATCAGTATGGTAACTCTGGTTCACAGACTCCAATTCAGCTCTACTTTAAATATTTTTGTTGAGTTTTTGGTGAGTGGGGTGCTGGGATTTCGAACCCAGGACCTTGTGCATGCTAGGCAAACCACTCTTCCACTGAGCTACACTCCCTCTACTTTAAATATTTTCTATTTACTCAACCATTCATTTATTTTGTGATGAGGGCCCATACTTCAGCCTCCTGAGCTAGCTGGGACTATGTTTATGTGCCAGCATGGTAGCTTTTAGTATTTTATAAATAAATAAATTTGCTTTTAAAACTCAGAAGCTGTTTATCAGGCTTTTCAGACTCTGTCTCTTGACATAGCAAATTGCTCGTTGAGTGTAAGGACACAGCCAGACAGTGGCTTTCTTCCCCCATCAGATGTCCTTTTCTTGCTCCAAGGATTTTCCTCCATCCTCAGGACTTCCCTGAAGGAGCGCTAACACAAAGGAGCTTCTAGTCCTATTCTGCACAGAACATCTCTCTCCCTCCCTTCCTCTCTTTCTTTTCCTATAGAGCTTTCTCATCACCTGCCCTTCTCCAGGAAGACAGAGTGAGAGGAGACATAGGGTCCATGCATACTACAGTCTGTCTCCTCATCCAGTGTGTGCGACCATGAGATCTTAACTCTGCAAGCATTCAGACTGTCAGTGAGTAGTGACCAAATTGGGATATTTGTGTGGTTCAGAAGAAGCACATCTCAGGGAAACGTGTGTGTGTGTGTGTGTGTGCGCGCGCGCGCGCGCGCGCGCATGTGAAAAAGAAAGTGAGAGACAGAGAGAGATTGAGAGAGAAGGCAGGCAGAGTTGAGTCAGCAGAGAATGAGACACAAGTTGGGGAAAGGCCAGCCTGGACAGGTGACAGCTGGGCAATGGGCTAGTGCTACAACAGAACAGACAGAGAAGAAGGAGGCTTTGAGGATGATGTAGCTATTTGAGGAACAACTGAGTTAGGAGATGAGGTCGGTGTGTGGAGCAGGAGGTGACATCATAGGTGGGCCAGCACCCCATGGGTGTCATCCTGCATGGTCCGGAACTTCCCACCATAATATATGTTATAATATCTGTGTACCTTACCGCCTCCTCCATATGGATCCCAGGCACTCAGATGTGGCTTCAGCTTATCAAAGAACAGAATGTTTAATTGAAGTTCAATGAATTTATATGTAAGTACTTCCAACAGCTGCTGCCTCAGTCCATGCAGTAAGCAGAGGGAAGTCTGCTTGATGTTCTTGGTGGGCAGAGTTAGACAGTGTGGTGGTAAGGACAGGTCTGTGGCAGCTGTGCACATAGGAGAAGTGGCTGACCTAGACTGGGCTGGAAGCAAGGTGACCAAAAGGAAGGGTTAGATTACAGGGCCATTCTAGAAGTGGAGCTCAGAGGACTTCCAAGATGGGTTAGGCGTGGGAAACAAGGGGGAAGGACTGGTCATAGGGTTGAAAGAGAGATGCTGACTGCAAGAATAGGCAGAGATGCCCAAGTGAGACTTTAGGTACCCACTGCCCTGTGGTATCAAATAGGTACGCACCACCATGCTTGGTTTATTTGGTGCGGGGGGGGGGGGGGGGGGATTAAATCCAGGCAGGCACACAGGCTGAATTCAATGGTAGAGGGCTTTGCTAGCATGTACAGGGACCCTAGAGCAGTGGTTTTCAGCCTGTGGGTCACGATCCCTTTAAGCTAATCTCTAACAATGAAAATGCATCCTACATATCAGATATTTACATTAAGATTCATAACAGTACCAAAATTACAGTTATGAAGTAGCAACAAAAGTAATTTTATGGTTGGGGGTCACCGCGACATGGGGGGAGGAGTCACCACGACATGAGGAACTATGTTAAAGGGTCACAGCATTAGGAAGGTTTAGAATCACTGCCTTCCAGTACAATGAAGAAAAAAAGAAAACTATATTTTACTCCTTCTCTGCCCAACCATCACCCCTCTCTCCATCCCTGTTGGAGGCAGGAGGAAGGCTCCCTTTTAAGTGGGATGTGGCTGTGTTATCCATCTGTTATCCATCATGTCATCTGTCATCTTCAGGGAGACAGGGGCAACAGCATCAATACAGTAGTTCTCCAGCCCTGTTGGCTCATGCTGTGCTGAACAGTGCTTGGCCGGTGGACCTCCTCCAAGCTTACAAATCCCTGGCCGACAGTAGGCAGCGGGGATCTCAGTAGGGTAGCCTTGCCAAGTAGGCAGTGGGTCTTCTCTGGAGCTGCTGGCCCAGGTTCCCAGTGACTGAGCAGGACTTTCATGAGCAGCAGCTCCACCCACCTTCGGCAGGATCAATTATTGATGACTCTTCTGAAGCCATGCCAGTGCAATCTCCTGACTGTCGTCTGCAGCCTCCATCAGGAGAAGGGCAGAATGCAATGAGCCTATTAACGAGGGGATTGGCCAGTAGTGTGGTCTAGGTTTCCACTTTGCATCATCAGAGGCCCAGAGCACCTATTATAGATCAGGGATGCCTCCTCTGGTAAGGGAAGGAGCCCCAGGTCTGCTTTGCCTCCCAGATCCAACCCCTATTATGTGTCCCAGGAGGCTAGGACTAGGAAGGTGGAGTGAAAAGCCTTCCAACAGCCTAGGGAGCTGCATTCAACTGGGGCACAGGATCAGACAGGTAGTTGGTGGCTCTGAATGCCACTGATACACTGGACTACAGGGAGGAGACCTGCCCTGCCTGGATGGAGGCGATGTGATGGCTGTACTTCTGTCTGCCCATCAGCCTCTCTCAGGGGAGGCCTAACATATGGGAAGTGACATGTGAGGCCACAGCAGATGGCAGAGGAGCCCCAGGAGCCTCTGGGGGGGCCCTGTCTCAGGGCAGTATCTGAAGCCAGCCCAGGGCCCATCCAGACTCACTCCTTATGAAGTGGGGAGGGGCTCCCTAAGCTGTGTAACTCTTCTGAAAACTCCCAGCCTCCCCTGTTGCCACGTTCTCTTTATGGTCTACCCTCCACCTACAATTCCTTGTCAACATGGCACTGTCTCACAGGGCCTAGAGCTATGTATGGACAGAGCTATTTCTTGTTCCCGGCCTGCACGTCTGTGGGGGTCACATCCTTAGTGAATGTTGGGTGGGTTGGGGGAATAGTAACTGGAAGAATTCAGAGAGTGGGCTGTAGAAACTCCTGAATAATTAGTACGCTCCATGCCTGTAAATCCCAGCACTTGGGAGGCAGAGACAGTTGGTATTTTTAGTTTGAGGCTGGCCTAGATCACACAATGGGTCAGTCTGTCTGTTTTAACACACACACACACACACACACACACACACACACACACGGGGTAGGGAGAGATGGAGACAGAGACAGAGAGAGTTGTGTAACTATATGAATATAACCAGTCCTGTCTACCTTTATGTTTAGCTACCTAGGTGTTAGGTGACCATAGTTCTTCTGGCTTAAGGCATCCTGGGTTCCTCTAGAAAATTAAGCTTTTCTGGGAGTGGTCTCTATCCCCTAGGCGATAGTGTTGTGGCTGGATCCCTGTGGCCTCCTCCAGGCCACTGAGGCTCATAACAGAACCAGGAAGGTAGAGGCAAGCATGACATGAGTTCCAGTCACTGTGGAGCTTGAATATCACCACCACTGCATGACTAGGGGAACACCTTGAAGACTCGGGGAACAGGCTATGCCGGGGTAAGGCTTGGTGGGAGAGTCTGAGCGGGGTGGGTGAGGTGTCATGCAAATAAATCCCTTTTTAGGTCATACCCTTGGGTGAGAGGCCACTCGAAACACTTGTCTGGAACAAATGTGTGAGAGCCTGAAGGGTAAGGCTATTGAGTCCTGGGCCCTGGTTCTACCGGGACCAGACCCAAAGCTGAAGTGGAGTGGAGGAGGAAATGGCTAACTAAGATGGGTTCTGGCTTTTTAGTCTTCTCCTCTGCCGGACAGCAGACAGGAGACAGGAGGTGTCTCCAGCGGAAGAGTGAGTGGGAAGCAGGGAAGGATTCAGAGGACAGGGAGAGCACAGCTCTAGGTATTTGAACATGATCACCCACTAGACCTTGGCTGTGAGAGGTTGCTTATCTGAGGCTGCAGGCCCAGACCCACAGACTGCCTGGGCCTTAGCTAGAAATCCACAGGCAAATGCCGAGGTGCCTGAAGAGACTATCTCCATATTCAGTCAGGGTGGGGGTGGGGAGACATGGAAGTGATGGGGTTTGCTATAACTTTTTTACAAAACATTTTTAAAGACTCATCTTATGAGCATGTGTGCATCTCCAAGTGAAAGCATATGCACCATGCGTGTGTGTGTGTGTGTGTGTGTGTGTGTGTATAGGAACCCAAGAAAGTCGGAAGGGGGTCAGAACTGGAGTTACAGGTGGTTGCGAGCCACTATGTGGGAACTGGGAACTGAACCTGCGTCTTCTGCAAGAGCCGTAAGTGCCTTTGACTGCTGAGCCATCTCTCCTGCCCCTCGGGTTTGGTTTTCAGGGATGGGTAGGAAACCTGTGGTAGGCAAGAACTCTTACCATTGAATGGCACGTCTAGCTCACTTATTGTGCTTTGGATGTCTCCTCTAAAACTCACATTGAAAGTTAATTCCAGCCGGGCGGGTGGTAGCGCACGCCTTTAATCCCAGCACTTGGGAGGCAGAGGCAGGCGGATCTCTGTGAGTTCGAGGCCAGCCTCGTCTACAGAGCGAGATCCAGGAAAGGTGCAAAGCTACACGGAGAAACCCTGTCTCGAAAAACAAAAACAAACAAACAAAAAAAGAAAGTTAATTCCAAATGCAACAGTGTTGGGAGGCAGTATCCAGTGGGAAGTGTTTGGGACTCTTGAATACACTGTCCTTTAACACAAGACCGGGTTTGTTACAAAAGCAAATTTGGTCACTGAACTTCCCTGTTCAGTGCATGCCCCCTGGTCCATGTACCATGCTAGGATGTGGCATGGTTGCCCTTGCCAGATGTGAACCCCCTTCTCTTGGACTTCCCAGCCACCAGAGGCATAAACCAATCTACTGCTTCTCACTTACTCAGCCCTATGGTGTGGGGTTTTAGTCACACAGACCTATTAAGACAACACTGTTGATTGGTAGAGAAATATCTGAATCCTTGATTTTCCTTGGTAAGCTTAGAATCTATGTACAAGGCACAAGTACAAGGACACTCTGGAGAATCAAGCCACAAGGGCTGGGGGACAGAAGGACAGCATGGAAGGAATTTTACCAACTGTTCACCATTTTCACTTCAAAGACGACAACCGACTCCGGGGCAGAAGTATTTTTGTTTATATGCTTACCACCTAGTTTAACACCAACCATTGAATTCCTGTAAAGAGATGTTCTATATACTTTTAAAAATAAAAGAGCTTGAGCCAAATGTGAGCTCCATGTCCGTGACCCCAGCACTTGGGAGACAGAAGCAGGATTGCTACAAACTCAGGGCCAGTCTAGTATACGTAGTGACACCCTGTTTTTTTTTTGGGGGGGGGAGAGCGCTAAAATAAAGCTAATGAATGCTAGTATGGAACAGGAAAATATGCCAGTGTCCTCGGCTGTTTGGCCATTGCTGAGTTAATGAACAGTCATGGAAATGTGTGGTATGCCCGGCACTTAGAAAAGGGCACTGACCAATACGGCTGCCTGCAAATGCTTATCGTCCCCAAGAAGCAGGTGTTCCTGCGTATGGTGGTACATGTCTGTAATCCCAGTGCTTGGGAGACAGAGGGCAAGTAATATCCAAGGCCAGCCTCAGCTACATACAGAGTTGGATGCCAGCATGGGCTACATGAGACCCTGTATGGGGGGGAAGCAGCAGCTAGGAATGCCAGATGTGCCCACCTTCTTATGGCGGGAGTAAGACAGGGAGGCATGAGTCTAGACCCAGAGCTATAGGAATATGGAGTGGGTGAGGAGTCGGGGGAGACCCTGGACCCAAGTAGGGCACAGTGTTCCTGCTGATATGCAGGAAGGGGTTAGACAAGCTGGAGTCTGCGTGTCCCAAGTCCTCCGGAGATATGTGGACCATCGCCAAAGTCCCGAGAGATATGCAGGACAGTTGGAGAGACACATGGTAGGTCAGCAGAGATGGGCACAGGTGACAGCGTAGGGCAGGGCTAGGCTTGGGGATGTAGAATGAGTTGCCAGAGGGACTCCGTGCAGTTTTCATCTCTCAGCAGAGTCACAACGATCCATCTTCTGACCCGCAGGGCAGGGCCACAGGGAATCTCAGAGATGGAGGCAGGACTCTGCCAGAGGGTCCAGATGGACTTTGTTCATCGTGCTTAACAGCGGAACTCAAGGGTCCTGAAATTCTGTGGCAGAGGGACGGTGGATAGCTAGGTCCGAAGCTCCAAGACCTAGAACTCCATGTCTTCTGGATGAGAGAACCCCCAGGTGGGATGGCAGGTGAGTTTTACTTGCCTACTTTGACAAGTCTTGGTGCTTAGAACATGGAGATGGGGGTTCAGAGACCTCGCCTAGGATCAGCAGGGAAGGACTCCGGGGTGACTGCAGATACGATTGGGTAAGGGATGTGGGCTAGCCCTGAGTGTCCTGAGATTGCAGTCTTGAAGCCTCTTGAGACCACAGTGACTGTCTGAAGACCCTGTAGGGAAGGCTCACCCCAGTGCCCACCCGCAACCAGCCAGATAGTATGGAGCTCCGGTAGCCAGTGGGGCTGGGCCAAACAGAAACGGCTGAGCCCCGGAGACACAGGCCTTCTCCAGCTTGAAGGCATATCTGCTGCAGAGTTTGGGCTCCATGTCACCCCGTGTGTCTGTAGGGAGTGGATGGCTCTGAGGCTGGCCTCAGCTAACAGCAGCCCAGGCCGGGTGGCCTCCTATTCTCCTGGGTCTTGGGCGCCTCTATTCCTACAAAGACAGAAAAATAAGATGGCATCCAACAGGCACCCTACAGCCGACACTGGGCAAAGACGACTCTACCCTGATAGCTGGGGCCCTAAACTTGGTCCCCTGGGCCTGTCCTCCGAAGCCTGGATGACCTGGTGTGGGAGGGATCCAGGGGACATTTGGGGTTGTGGCATTCAGGTTAAGCTGGAGGCAAGACATATCTGAAGATCAGGAGCCTAAGCCTGGCCCAAGAGGAGGCTGTGTGGAGATCAGGGAGGCTGGGGCAGGTGTCTGAGTCGACGGGTGGGGTCACGGAAGCTGTAGGCCTGAGATGTGGTGACAGCCCAAGAAGACCACCAGGTTGGCAAATTAACAACAGTGGGTGCTGTGGGATGGTCTGTATGTCAAATGCGTTGCTGATTGGTCAATAAATAAATCACTGATTGGCCCGTGGCCAGGCAGGAAGTATAGGCGGGACAAGGAGGAGAATAGAGCTGGGAAGTGGAAGGCTGAGTCAGAGAGACACTGCCAGCCGCCATGATGACAAATAGCATGTAAAGATGCCGGTAAGCCATGAGCCATGTGGCAAGGTATAGATTAACGGAAATGGATTAATTTAAGCTGTAAGAACAGTTAGCAAGAAGCCTGCCACGGCCATACAGTTTGTAACCAATATAAGTCTCTGTGTTTATTTGGTTGGGTCTGACGGCTGTGGGACTGGCGGGTGTCAGAGATTTGTCCTGACTGTGGGCCAGGCAGGAAAACTCAAGCTACAAGTGGGTGTGGACTTCTGGTCCCTATCCTGCTCCTCAGCGCCCCCACCCCACCCCCTAGCCCTCTCTGTACGCACGGATTAGGTCTCCATCTCCATCTCCGACCTGGGACTGAGTGCTGGGCCTCTTCTCTAGGTCCTGAAGCACAGACTGCTCGAATGCTAGGGCGGCGACACGGCTGAAGAATGCCTTCACGTTCTCTCCTGGGGGCCCACAAGACAGCTGTGACTCAAGGTGCCCTCAGATGCATTATGGGCAAGTCCTTAGGCCAGCCACGATCCTTTCAGAGCACTCCTGATTGTCAGTGACCAGCCCATCCATGGACGGCAGCACAGTCCTGGGTGGCAGCCTGCCTTCCCATTGGGTTCTGGTCCCCATCCCTATCCTGCTGCCAACCCGCCCCCCAGGCTACTCCCTTAAACATCGGAGCCTTCCTTTCCTAGAACCTTCCCTCTCAATCAGTTGCTATTGTACAACCTGGGACGAGCCTGAATGTGTGTGCCTTCTCTTTAGGAGCTGCCCACGTGCTGTTGGCCCTTACGTGGAATCTGTATGCATCCTCCTACAGTCCCAGTACCGACGTGAACATTGCCCATGCTCAGCAACAACCTGTGCAACTGTGCAGAACAGCCCTCCTTCCTCTACGGTGGGATCCCAGAGAACCCGCCCTTACTGAGATCAAGGAGGGCGGGTGCTATGGGGTGGATGGAGGCTAGTGCTGGGAGGAACAGCAGATGGCTCCAGGCATGGGATGCTCCCAGTGTTTGTGGTGGCCTAGAGGTGGCACTTCCAGTTTCAATTCATACCCAGTCCACGGCCAGATACACACTGTCCCTGTGCACTGGAGGCAAGGAATGCCGGCCCGATTTCTGAGTTCCCACAGACCTGGAATCTCTTTACTGCGTGTCCTTTCCTTTCATCTCCCCAAAAGCCTGGTTTTCCAACTTTGCTCTTTATAATTCTGCATCCTTCAGTCTTTTGGTAATCAATGCGTGTGGTGTGCAGAGTCTTTCGGTAATAAATGCAAGGGGGGTTCACTACTCACCGGTTTTGGCTGACACAGACCAGTACTCTGCCTGCATCTCATTGGCCAGGTGCACAGCCTCTGCTTCGGCTTGCTCACACGCTGCCCCTGACTGGAAGAAACAGCGCAGGCTGACCCGGTATCTTGGTTCATTGCAAGGCGTCCCTGGAATGGCCACCTCTCTCTCCAACCTTGCTTCTCACTTCCCCCTAAGCAAATGGGTGTGGTGGGGTGTCTCAGTGCAGGGATGCTCCCAGTGCAGGGGTGCTCCCAGGGCAGGGATGCTGCCAGTGCAGGGGTGCTCCCAGTGCAGGGGTGCTCCCAGTGCAGGGGTGCTCCCAGTGCAGGGATGCTCCCAGGGCAGGGATGCTCCCGGTGCAGGGGTGCTCCCAGTGCAGGGGTGCTCCCAGGGCAGGGATGCTGCTTGCCTAGGGATGATGCTTTAGTGGTCCCCAGGGAAATCTGAGTCATCCCTGCCTCTTAGTGGGGAGCACGGGAGCTTGAGTACTCTCTTCAATTCCATAGCCTGTCCGACACAAGGCATGCCAGTGTTGCTCACTGCTCTTCAAAAGCGGGCTGCAAGCACGGGCACTTTCTGGAAAGTTCCTCGGGGTTGGGCCTCCAGCTCCAGTCTGCTTACCAGGAGATCCTTCTTGGTTCCCACGAGGAAGATGAAGCAAGAGCCTGCCTCATTCTCCCTCAGTGCATCCTCCAGCCACTGCCTAGAATGTACAGAGCGGAAACAAGAGACTTGTAGTCAGCCAGGAGGCACAGGGAAGGTACCCCGACCTACACTAAGTGGGATGCTTAGAGCCTCAGAAGAGCCTCAGTGGGACCAGGAGGAGCTGGGAACATAAAGGCACAGGTTTGGGAGAGGTGAAGACTCCTATTGTGAGAACTCCTCTGCCCTTTATCAGCTGGAGAAATCATCCCTGTCTCCTTCTTAGGGCCTGGAAGATGCTGATGTGAACAGCCCAGGCAAACGGGGAGGAGGGGTTTCGGTCCATTAGGTGGATTATTTCTGGCAGATGATGGCCTTCTGTAATTGGTCATCTGCCCACATCTCTGCCCAATGTTTCAGTCAGGGAGGATTAGCTATGAAATTATTAGGGGCCAAGGTAAAGGTGGACGGAGGGGCCCCTCGTTCAAAATGAAGGTTTAATATGCTGGCAGCGGGATGTCAAAGCCAAGTGTGGCCTGTCAGCTTGAGCTCCTGAGCAGCAGATGGGGATAAGTCTTTAGGGCTAAGTGAGGACCTAGACAGTAAGTGCCCATGGTTCTGGGCCCAGCCCAGAGGCTGGGGTTGGGGAGCCCTGCCAGGCAGCTTCACGAGTCCAGGTGATATACAGAGACATACAGGGGGGTAGAACCTGGGGTTACTTGCCTGGTGTGTCCCAGAGTCTGCACGTCAGTGAGGTCAAAGGCTGTGATGATCACTGGACACAGGGAAAGCCAACAGCCAATCAGCAACAGGTGTGATGGAGGAGGCTCCCCTAGGTATCTTCCCAGATCACAAGGAACTACTGGGGAGGCCCCACTGTGGAGACTAGTGAGGAGTCACCCTGTGGTGGCCACCTTGGACCTGCCTTCCCACCAACCTCCCAAATCCCCCAAACCTGTAACTAGCAGGACAGGGGCGGTAGGGGGGGGGCACAGTGAAGGCCTGAAGCATGTGGACTCTGGTAGGAGATCCTCTGCCACTTGTAGCCCAATGGGCTTGGGTGAGAGCTGAGACTGTGGAGAACCTGCTTTCCCTGTCTGTACAGTGATGAGAATGATACCCCTGGCTGACAGGAGGGACAGTTTTGAAAAGCTGTTGGTCTAGGGCCCGACTCTGGGTAGACTTTTAATTGAAGGATGGGGATTAGTAACAACCAGTTAAAGGAAAATGGCTTTTGTGGTGCTACGTGGGCAGCAAACCGTCAGGTGTCTCTGGGGTCAGCTCTTTTCATCACAGAGTCTGCCCTGGATTCCCAAGGGGAAGCCCACAGGAGGATGGTCCATGCAGAGGTCAGCTCTCTGCTGCCCTGCTGGGAGTCAGAGCAGGCTGGACAAGGGCTTTCTGTGCACTTTGGCTGATGATAATCCTACCAGTGACGGGCATGGCGAGTACTGTTTACAAAAGTGTACTAGGTACCTGACACCATTTGCTCCAGGGAGGCACAACCCCTCAGGAAGAGGGGTTAGGAGAGGGGGTAGCTGGAGGAGGCCACGGTGGACATGGCCAAGCGGGAGGTTCTACCCACAGCTCAGGTACATGCAGCTTATATCCTGTTCTCCCTTCTTTACACTGGGATGAAACTATAGTGATTTTCACACCATCTCCGAGAAGATCTAACTGTGCCTATACTTTTGAGCCTGGTTTGGGGTCCCACCTCCTACCAGGCTCTCCTTCTGTCTCCTTCCTGGGGACTTTACGTTGCCACCTCTGCTGACTTTGAGCCCTGCTCAGCCCCCAGCTGCCGCACCTGGTCATGTTGGCAGTGGGCACCAGAGCCCCAATATGGGACCTGCCAACTCTGCTGGGTCCACCTGTCACTCCTCTATGGCCTAGCCCCCTCTGGGTAAGACAGGAAAAGGCTCTCCTCATCTTCACCTGGAATGTGAGGTCATCTCTCTTTTCTGGGACCCTTAAACAAGAATACTCTTTTGAGTTGAAACTGGGGCTGAGGCAGCCTGCACCTGATACTTCAGACTCCCTAAGGGTGTGACTGTCAAAGACGACCAGGGTCTAGTCCTCTGGGCAGCTTCTTTCATCCCTAAGCACTGGCTAGACTGCTAATCCCAGTGGCTCCTGGAGAACAGAAAAGTAGTGTTTGTGCAGATGACTTAGGTTGAGAGCTCCAGCGTCATTCGGCTGCTCACCCTGGGCACCGCGGTAGTAGGCAGACGCAATACACTTAAACTTCTCCTGCCGGCTGTGTCCCCAGCTGTGAGGGGAAGAGGGAGACAGGAAAACAGCGGGGGCAGGTTAAGCAGTCACAGCATTCTAAGGCAATGGAATAGTGAGATCATGGGAAGATCTCAGGACCTACGCCAACATGCCAGCCACACATGAACAACAGGAAGTGCCTGGGTGATCCAACTCTCCCTGCCCTGGCTCCCTGCAATACCCGCCCCCTGGTTTTTCCTGGGATCATCGTGCCAATAGGGGAGAAGGTGTAACATTGCAAATTGCCTTGTCCAAACAAAGTTACACCTCTGATAAAGTTACCGCCCTTCTGACTGTGACATTATAAAGGGCCTTATGTTCCATAACAGGACAATGCTGGGGTTCTGGGACAGGCCTTCAGTGTATGTGTGACCGGGGCACCCTTCACCTTCCGCACAGTAGCTCCCCACATTAGGAAGGGGGCTAACAGGGACACAGTTCGCATCCCTTGGGCAACTGATCAGTTAGCTCCGGCTTTCTGAAACAATTTGTTGGGAAGGAAATAGAAGTTGAGCCCTAGATCCATGGAAAAGGAATGAAACAGCAGATTAATAATGTCTGCCGTGGGTACAAGATGTAGGAAGGGAAGGAGACACGCTGAGATCTACTTGTATGGGCTGAAAGCAGGCTGTCAATATGCAGGGATGATCCCGAAATCCAGTCATCAACCCATTACTTTTTAAAGTCAACAGGTTAACATTTAATTTTTCTCAGGAAACTAAAATGATAGCCCACAAATATGGTATCAGTGATCTGAATTTGTTTTCAAGAAGTTCAGTATAATGGAGGCTTGTGGGCTTTATTCCTTCATTAATTCATTTTTTTCATCTCTGAAGAAGCCTCTAGGTGGGGGATGGGCATACAGTAAGCCAGGCAGGTGGCTGACAATGGCCTCAAGATAAGATCCCGAGAGCCTATGACAAGGCAGTGCCCATTTTACATTAGGCCCTCTGATTAGAGACTGCCTGAAGCCTCGGTGAGAGAGTCCGCTGGCTGGCCGCTCTCTGTACAGCTCCACCTGGCTGCTCCCTCTAGACCAGACCTTTGCTCCTCTCAGCTTTCCAGAACTCTCAGTCACGAAGCCCCGGATTTTCATAGCGTCTTTTGCTCTGAACCAACCCTGGGCTCGCCCTTGCACAGGATGTATCATCTGGCTCCAGGATTATACTGGGGCGCTGTCTCCACGTGGAGATGGGAGCTGACACAGGAGCTGAGGGGTCAGCCTAGGCAAGGCACAGAATAAAGACTAACGCCAGGGAGGAAGTCAGGGAAGGGGGCTAGAACAAAGACTTGGTGAATGCCAGCCGGCAAGAAGAACACAGGGGCTGTTAAACGAGACAGCAGGGGTGGGGGCATTGGGGGTGGGCTCACCAGAGAGCACAGGGGTCTGGTAGCTGAGTAGGCCTGCAGGATCCTCTGGGGAGTGGGGAGAAGGAGGTCCAAAGCACACAGCACTTTCACCAAGGTAGAAGAAGGCGAACCCGGGGAAGCCCTTGCACAGATGTGAGGGGAAGTGAAAGGGGTGGGAAGTGGGGCAGAAACCAGGGGGCCACTGAGGGGCAAAAGCATGGATGGGGTTAGGAGAGGAGACAGACTGAGTGGGGAAGCACAGTGTGGACAGAGGGGTTACACATTTACAGAGTGAAGCAATCGGAGGATGGAGAGCATCTGGCTTTCCAGCTTGAGAGCAGGATGAGGGCAGGGTGGCCTCCAGCAGAACCCTACTCACCCAAGGCTGGCACACAAGGACCGACTCTGCCCTACTTTATAACTGAGAATAGGGAATAGAACTCAGGAAAAAATGTCAGAGGCCACACCTGCTGCTTGGGAGATCACAGGTCCACCTGGGGAAGAAGGTTGAACCTTAGTAAAAAGCTACTGACTGGGGAAGAGAGTGGGTGGAAGTGTAGGTCGGGCCATGAAGACCGTCCCCAGATCTGTTGACCAGCGAGGGGCAACTGTGAGGATGGAGAGAGAATCTAGGGACCCATACGCCACGAAGTCTGGTTTCTTACCACCACCCAGGGCTGTGCTCGTCCACACACATCCTTGCTGAGCACCATGGGGGGCAGAGGAAAAAGATCCCAGCTAAGGTCTTTCCCCCAGGGGAGATCTGGAAACCACATTATCAGAGACTTACATCTGGAGGCTGTAGGGAATCCCCGCAATCTCAAAGCGCTCGATTTCAAAGTCTACCCCAATAGTGGCCTTGTAATCACGGTCAAAAACATTCTTGCACAACCTGTGGGAGGTGAGGAAGTCATCAGAGGTCCCCTCCCAAAAGTAGGTGGAGGTGCTCACAGCAGTGGAAGTCTGTAAGGGAATAAGATCCCCCAGTAGGGAATCAATAAGTGATCGGCTGGGTGTGGTGGCTCACGCCTTTCATTCCAGCACTAGGGAGGCAGAGGCAGTCAGATCTCTGTGAGTCTGAGGTCAGCCTGGTCTACATGGGGAGTTCTGGAACAGCCAGGGCTTAAAAAAAAAAAACAAAAACAAAAAAACCAACACCCCCCCTCCCCCCAAAAAAACCACCACCACCACCACCACCACCAAAACCAAAACCAAAATACATCAAGGAAAGTGATGGTGCGGAGAGGCTGTGGCTGTACAGGTGTGTAAATAAGCTCTCCATCACTGGAACAAACTCCTGAGATGATGGCAACCCATGAGGAGACGTTCATCTGGGCTTCTAGTTCTAGAAGCTTCAGTCCATGATTGACTTAGTCATGTTGCTTTGAACTAATGGTGAGGCTTCCTCATGGTGACGGGCATGTAACTGAGCAAAAGAACATCCCTCATGGCCAGGAAGCAAAAGAAGGGGGTGAGCTGCGGGGGAGCACACTGTTCCCTTCACGTGTACATTCCCAATGACCTAATGACCTCTCGCCAGGCTCCACCTCCTAAAAGTTCTGCCACCTTACAAAAGTGCCGCAGACCAGAGACACAAGCCTCTGACGCACGGACCTTTGAAAAATCCTTATCCAAACCATAGCAACGGGGTGGTCAATAAAAACGATGTGGGGGAGGGGAGCTGCATCAGCCCAGAAGCTGCATCATCACTATCGTACAAAAAGTGAGAGAAATTGAGGGTCCATTCCCAGGGAGGGCAGTGCAAGGGCCCCACGGGGACGGTGTAATGAATGCAAAGTATCAAGGATGCTCCATCATCTGGCAGTCACCGCAACGGCGCGCATGCGCTAGAGCATGAGCCCATGTACGGGTCAGAGGCTGACACGGCATTTTTCTTTAATTGCTCTCCATCTTGGTTTTTGCTCTCTCACTGATTTGGCGAGGCTGGCTGAGCAGCAAGCCCTAAGAATCCTCCTGTCTCTGTCTCCCCAGTGCTGGGATCACGGGCAGGCAGGCGCTGCCACATCTGGCTTTTCCATGGGGTCCTGGGGATTCAGTTCAGGTTTTGGGTACTTAAGCGGCAAGCACTTTATGGACCGAGTCAATCTCCTGAGCTCCCAATCTCCCTATTTTTAAACTTTTCTTTTTAAAATTGTGTGTGTGTGTGTGTGTGTGTGTGTGTACAGGTCTCTGTGGTGGCCAAAGGACTCAGACCTCCAGGAGCTGGAGTTGAACGTGGTTATGAGCTCAAATTCTGGGTGTGGCGGGGCAGTGCCAGTGAGCCATCTCTAGCCCCTCTCCTTGACTTCTTGCCACGCCCTTGAAAATATTTCCCAGGCTAAAGCTGTGTTATGTTCCCAGAAGCCACGTGTTATTTGGGGCTCCCAGGCAAAGGTACAACAAATTGGTGCTGGGAGGTGGCGGCCGGCCTGACAGCGTGATGGGGCGGCAGGACTTACCTGTGGATGAGGCTAGTCTTTCCCACATAGAGATCACCAACTACCACCACCTTGGAGAGCTTCAGCCTGGAGGAAATATGTCCGTATCACCCTGGAGAATGGTATCAACAGTGTCTTCAGCATATCCAAGTCTTTCCTTCCCTGAACTATCTGAATGAGTCACCCTTCCACCCTAGATGCAGGAAGGAACCAGTGGGGTCAAGGACATCACCAGGACACGCACAGAATCAACTAACCTGGGCTCAGAGGAGCTCACAGACACTGAACCAACCACCAGGGAGCCTGCATGGGACTGCCCTAGGCCCTCTGCATATGTGTGACAGTTGTGTAGCTTGGTCTTCTTATAGGACTCCTAATAGAAGGAGCAGGGGCTGTCTCTGGTTCTTTTGCCTGCTTCTGGGACCTTATTCTGCATACTGGGTTGCCTTGTCCAGCCTCAGTACAAGGGGAGGTGTCTAGTCTTACTGCAATTTGATATGCTACGTTTTCTTAATATCCAAGGGAGGCCTGGCATTTTCTGAATAGAAACAGAGGGGGAGTGGAGGGGTTGTGGCAGAGGGGAGGTAGGGGGAGAGACTGGGAGGAGAGGAGGGAGGGCAAACTGAGGTCAGGATGTAAAATAAAACACAAACAAACAAATAAAAGATTTCAGAGCTCTGGAGCACAGAAGGGTACTATGTAGCAGCCAGGCTGGGGCAGGGACCGGAGACAGTCAGAGAAGTCTCCCCAGAGGCTCTGACATACGGAAACCTGGAGGGACCAGAGGAAGAGTGTATCCCACAGCAGAAGACAGCTGGTTCAGACAGAGGAAACGGACCTGCGCTGAGGCTTCCCTGCAGCTGAAACGTCATCTGTATGGCGTTCTGAGAAACAGGGCAATTGTTCGTACAGTCTGCCTGTGTGTTCCATTTGCTCACTTCACTGACACATGCATTTGTGCTTCTATTCTTCACACATCTTCCACACCCTTGTCCCCCGGGCTTACCCAACAGTGCCCGTGTTCCTGCGCTGGCAGGCAGTGCTGACCTGGCTGTGGAAATGTTCCTTGAGCTGCAGGCAGGCGTCAGGTGTGTACCACTATAAAAAGACAGACAGACAGACAGACAGACATGCAGACAAGCAAGCAGACCGTCCTGCAAGGCCGCATCTCCACAACGCAAACTGGGCAGCATCGGAGCACGAGACCTACTTCCCAACCCTCCTTCCTTCCTGAAACTTGAAGCTTGCGGCGCCTCATGAACATTCCTCGGTCCCGGCAAAGCCACGGGTTGTGGGGTAGGAAGTGCGAGCCCATTTCTCAGACAAGGAGACTGAGAAAGAATTTGCCCCTGGAAGCACCACGTTGGCCCAGCCTGACGTGGATAATAAGTCCTCAGGTCTGAAGTGGCCCTGGGATCCAGGACAGACATGGCCAGCTGTAGCTGTGGCCCTGACTGCTGTAGGTAGAGGGCTGTAAGGGAATCTCATCTTCCCTGGGCAGACTCCTTAGGGCTAGGCGTTCTGGAGCCTTACAAGGGCAGCTGGGTCAGATCTTAGCTCTACCATGCACAACCGTGTTGATGTTAAGCAGTTTTCCCCGACTCTCTGAGCCTCTGTGAATAGTGTCTTTTGTCCCATGAGACTGGGCCTGCTCACCCCGCCCCTGCCCCCCATTATACTTCCTTTCTCTTCAAGTCATAAGAAAGACACCAGCCTGAATCATCTCTGGTTATCACGGTCACACTCCATTGGGAAGGCAATGGCCCACGCTCACTCTAAAAAACCGGGGGAACTCTCCAAGATCTGAGGCACAAAGGCTTTCTCTGGCAGTGTGTGAGAAGGAAGTCAGAGGAAAAAGATGAAGAAGGAGAAGAAGTAATGGCTGCAGATGGGAACACCCACAGCCTACAGCCATCTTCTTCCTCCTTCCTAGCTTTGGCACAGAATCTAAAAGACACAGAAAATCTCTCTTCACACTGGTTCAAGCCTCACAGAAGCAACCTTGGGCAACAGGGTTGTGGTGGTTTGAAAGAAAATGGCCCCCAAAGGGAGTGGCACTATTAGGAGGTGTGGCCTTGTTGGAGGAAGTGTGTCACTGTGGAAGGCGGGCTTTGAGGTTTCATATATGCTGAAGATCCTGCTCAGTGTCTCAGACCACTTCCTGTTGCCTGCAAGCCAAGAAGACGGACACTCAGCTACCTCTCCAGCACCCTGTCTGCCTGCACGCCACCATGTCCCACCATGATGATAATGGACTGAACCTCTGAACTGTAAGCCAGCCACAATGAAATGTTTTCCTTATAAGAGTTGCCATGGATGTGGCTCTCTTCACAGCAATAGAAACTCTAAGACAAGGGTCTTTTTTTTTCTTTTATTGAAAATGGATTTTTTTTTTCATATAATGCATTGATTACGGTTTCCCCTCCCCCTACTCCTTCCAGTTGCTCCTCACCTTCCCCTCCCATCTGGATCCATACCCTTTCTGTATGGATCAAACAGGCATCTAAGGAATAATAATAAATAAAAAACAAACAAATCAGAGTATGATAAAATAACCAAACAAGAAAAATCACAAACGCATACAGAATCAGAGACACACATATTCGAGTACACTGGAATTCCATTAAAAACTCAAAACCTCAGCCGGGCGGGTGGTGGCGCACGCCTTTAATCCCAGCACTCGGGAGGCAGAGCCAGGCGGATCTCTGTGAGTTCGAGGCCAGCCTGGGCTACCAAGTGAGTTCCAGGAGAGGCGCAAAGCTACACAGAGAAACCCTGTCTCGAAAAACCAAAAAAAAAAAAAAAAAAAAAAAAACCACTCAAAACCTGAAGGCCTAACATACAAACAAAAGACCTGTATGATGAGGGGCAGGGGCAGAGGAAGGCCCCAACGACATTATGAGACAAAGAACCTTCAAAGATGCCATTGAGTTCATTTTTGGTTGGTCATCTACTGCTGGGGATGGGGCCTACCCTTAAGAGTGGTTTGTTTCCCCAGTGAGACTCCCTGGGAGAAAACTAATTTTTCATTTGCTCTAGTGGCTATCAATGCACAACAAGATCTTTTTTATTGTTTTGATTTTTAAAGATAGTGTTTCTCTGTATAACAGTTCTGGCTGGCTGTCCTGGAACTCCCTTTGTAGACCAGGCTGGGCCTTGATCCACCTGCCTCTGCCTCCCAAGTGCTGGGATTAAAGGCGTGCGCCACCACTACCCAGCGCACAACAAGATCTCCGCCCCCCGCCCCCCCCCCCCCCCCCCCCCCCCCCCCCCGACAGGGTTTCTCTGTGTAGCTTTGCGCCTTTCCTGGATCTCACTCTGTAGACCAGGCTTGCCTCAAACTCACGGAGATCCACCTGCCTCTGCCTCTCGAGTGCTGGGATTAAAGGCGTGCACCACCACCACCTGGCCGCACAACAAGATCTTAACATTACCTTTCGGAAATATTTTCTGCATGTACTAACAAACAGATACCTCTCCCCAGCCCCACCCCCCCTTTTTTTTGTGATGGCAGGGACTTAACCAAGTGCTCCAGCATACTTGACTACACACTTGACTACAAATAGCTCCATTCTTTGCTTTTTACCTAACAATTTGCTTTGGCCCTCCTTAGCACTGGGAAGAGGAGCCTCATCCCTCCTACACATGTTGAGGAGCAGCATTACTACCGGCCTCTCTCTGGACACTGATGTTGACCTTCTGCTCTTATTAAAGGCTGTAATGCCCGACCTTTCACACTCTCCATTCATGCCAGGACATACACAGAAATGAATTCCCAGTAGTGGGATTGGCTACATAATGGGCAAAAACATTTGTAATATGGGTAAATATTGTCTCCCACCCCCCTAAAAGAGGGGAATTATTTAGCATTCCCCACTGGATTTAATATTAGACTATAGTATAGGTTGGAGTTTTCAGCAAAAAGTGAAGGTGGAATGGTAATAAAGTCCTGGATTTGGGGATCAGAAATTAGAACACCATTTTTGTTTCTAAAAGATGGATCTTGTTACATACTCCAGGCTGACGTCACACTCACAATCGTGTCTCTGTCTCCCAAGTGCCACTACACCTGTGTGTGCTCTGCCCCCTCCCCGCCCCCCGCCCCCCTGCAGTGCTGGGGATAAAACTCAGGGTTTTGTACCTACCAGGCAAATGCTTTCCCCATTATGTCACATCTCCATCCTCTGGAGAGCTAATAATAATAACAATGAGGAATGTCCTGACTTGGGGGAGCTTACACTTACCATGAGCCTCAGCTCCAAGGCAAGCTTGGGTGACTTGCCTATGGTCACCACTTAAAGACAGCATCAAGATTATACTGAGGACTGTCTAAGTGGCTTATAACCTCCAAGCCACACAGCTACCTGTTGTCACTACTGGTCTGCTTTAGAAGAACCCAACACCCAGCCTTTCAGTATCTCAGAAATAAGACCAACCTCTGGGATTCACTTGCTTGATTTCTGGGGGTGATGGTGTGTTAGCAAAGCTGGACATGGCTGAAGTGTTACCTCAGCAGTGGAGACAAAAAGGGCAAGGAACAGAGTCACATTCCCATCATCCCAGCACTGGAGAGACTGAGGCAGGAAGATTGCAAATTTAAGGGCTAGTCTGGGATACTTAGTGAATTCCAAGTTTATCGAGGATAGTAGAAGCCTTTTATCAAAGCAATCCAGACCCAAAGAAAACTAAAAACAACGTCAAAGGTGTTCTAAAGACTGTACCTTAGGGAAGCTGGTGATGATGCGGTCCTGGCTCACAGGGGGCCCCAAAGGGGTCCAAGAGGACCTCATTCTTCCAGTGTTCTGTAGACTGAATCAAGAGGAAAGTGGATTACATAAATATATGAGGTTCGTTTCTGCATTGTGGTCTAGCAGATCAAAGCAGAACAGAGTGCACTAGGTGCCACATGATCAATGGAATTCTGATTGGACTAGCTTCCCAACAAAACAAGAGATCCACAGCAACCAAAGGGGACCAGATGACCTGAACCAGCCTGAACAATCCTATAAAGCGAGTACCTTTGAACAACCAACTTCCCTTTTATTGTTTCTTCTTTCCTTTCCTTTTTTGTATATATACCCAAACTCCTAGCCAGGTGTAGTAGTAACATGGGCCTATGTCCTCAGCACTTGGGAAGCAGAGGCAGAAAGATGGCTGAGTTCCAGGGTGCTTGGGCAACACAGTGAGAACCTGTCCTAAAAAGGCCCAAACCAACCAAACAAAAACACTCATTTTATTTTACAGGATGAAGTGTTGCCCAATTCCAGATTCACAAAGTCAATTACAACTAAATTTGTTAAGTTGTCTTTTGACAAGAATTGGAAAGCCATACAAATCCTCAAAAGGCACCTGTGAGTTTCGTCATCACTTTTCATCACTTTAAAAGCACATCTCAGCCTGCATCCCTCTCAGCAATATTAGGCAGAGGCCACTCAATCTGTAGGTAGCACATTGGGGGAGCAGCCCATACCCCATCTTGCCCAGAGTCAAGAGGTGAGTGTCTAGGAGGAGGGCCTCCTTCTCAAGGTTCCTTGGCATGAGGGAGGTATGAAAAAAACCTGGCTGTGGATCACAGCCTAGATAGTGGAATCGGAGTGGGGAGGGGTCTCCTGCTCTTAGTGTGTTTCAAGATGGAGCCTCTGAGTGGTATAGTGACTTTAGGTTCCGGCCCCTTTTACTGATGGTCCCCACACCACCCAGGGAGTCTGGCTCCTCAAGCCCAGTGTCCTCCTCATCCGACCCGGCTCCCGCAGAGGCCTGGCCGGGAGTGGACGCTCAGTGAAGAAGAGCAGGCCTGCAGGGCACACTGAGGTTTGGGGGTAAGACGAGGGTAGGGTACAGGAGAGCCTCAGGACTATAACCTCCGGGATGCGTCCCTACCCTGGAGGGTGAGTGGACTCACCAAAGCTGCAAAGACCGGGTTCCGGCGCGCTGGCTGCAGCAAATCACTACAGCAACGCGCGGGCCTCGCGGGACTGGCTCGCAGCTCTTGAATCCCGACGTCAGGGGCGGGCTCTGGACCCTCCTCCAGTCCGTAGAAACTGATGGCACAGGGCCCGCGCGGAGTCATCACCATAGCAACGAGAGCCTCTCGGGGCGCGGAGCTCTGCTCGGAGACTTCCGGACTCCACTGGAGCGCCCAGGCTCACCATGACAACCAGGGCGGTGATGCTCAGGCGGGGCCGGTGGGTGGAGCCTGGTCTCTCAGGATGGAGTCTGGGCGTGAAGGGGTTGGTTCAAGGTTCACTCTGGCCACCTTGGTGGGCTAGGTCGTGACAGTCCCCAGAAAAGGGGTATTGGTATTGGACTGAAGCCTGACATCCTCCCCGCGGCAAGGGAAGGGCCCACCTCATGCTTACCATCTGCCTTACTGCATCAGTTTGAATTTAATGCTATTTGGAAAGCATGTGCCTGGCTTCTGGCACTCATACTGAAAAATTAATTTCCTCCATTAATGGATGTTTTAAAAGCTGAATCAAGTTACTGGGCTCCTTCGAGCTAGTTTCGGTTGAAAAGCAAGGTGTGGGGGTACAGGATATATTCCAGAATATATTCCTTAGAACTCTTACCACCACCACCACCCCTCAAAAAACTAAAAGCCTCATTCAAAAAAATTTGCCTAATGAGTTAGAAATAGAATTGAACCCAGATTTTCTGACTCCCAGCCCGGGGGTGTTCACCACACTTTCCTAAAATAACATTAGGGCAGTCTGGTTAGAGACATCCTTTCGGACTCGATCCTCTGACAGACAACAGTAGGTAGATTTCTAAGTGTCATATGGGTGATACCAAGGGTGGTAGATCTATTCTGGTCATCTTTAAGGCAACAGGAAATGCCCTGGAGACCGATGCTTCTACTTGCGTCTTGGTTAAGGAGTTTTACTGCTAAGGCTTCAGACTTAAAGGGTTTTTACGCCTCCAACCCTTAGTTTACTCAGCTATTAAATGGTCCATCAGGCACATTTGCAAGGATTTCTTGTGAGGAAGACATTGCTGGAGCCAGTTTCTTTTAGCATAGAAGCAATAGAAGAGATGTGGGTGTGTGCAGGGTCAGCAGGCAAGGCTTTAATGGGTCTATTGCTAGGGAGTGGAAGTAGGACCGGGACTGACAGATCCGGTCCCTCCACCCCCCCCCCACCTTTCCCCTTGGAACAAAATGAGACACAGGTCTCTATCTGTTTGCCAGGGTGGGCGAGACGCAGGTGGTTGTCACCATGCCAGCAGAGCTCAACTGCAGTGTTTTTAAAAACTGTTTGTGGCAAGCCCTCCTGCAGTCTAGGTGAACCTCAAATTTTCCAAGATAATGGCCGTGAACTCCTGATCCTGTTGCCCCCATGCCCCATGTGATAGGATAATAGGCCATGCACCACACCACATGCCTAGTGTCTTCATGCTCTTAAGAACATGAGGGTGGGGATGGTAACTACAGGGCTCTAGGTCTTTAAGTTGTAGCAGCTCCTGAAAGATCAGGAAGGCAGAAGACCAGCTCCAACAATCCATCTCCATGCAGGGACAGAGAGAACGTCACCCAAAGGTTAAGGCTGCCCCATCTTTTCATCCCTTCCCAATCACCCGTCTATAGACTCCAATGAGCAGACTTCATCTGCAGTAGCCGTCAGATCCCTGAAGAGTATTCTAAACACGTGTTATTGTAACCCATATCCAGAGGTGTTCTCTACAGCAAAACATTGGGAAGCCATATTAAATATGTGCTATTCAATCATTGTTGACAGGATTTAGAATTACCCCTAGGTAACACCTCTCAATGTGTCTGTAAGGATATTTCCAGAGAGGTTTGACTGACGAGAGGATACCCACCGTGAATGCGAGGGGCGCACCAGTTGGTCACCAGCCACTGCCGCCCCTACCTGCTTCCTGTTCCATCAAGTTCGGGGGGAGGTGAGGAGCCACAGCTGAGAGTCACTTCAGCTGACGTACCTTCCCCACTACGAAGCATCCTCAATATACGAACTGAAATAAATCCTCCGTCCCTCGATTTGCTTTTTGTCATACTCATAAGAAAACTACCTAACACACCCAAATATGTGACCTTTCTCATCCGCGACCTTCATTTAGTCAACCAAGAACAAGGGAAACTGAAGGGGTTTCCCTGGCATTTGTGAATGGAATATAAAACATTGGTTCTCAACCTGTGGGTCGGGACCTTTCCACAGGGGTGGCCCAGGACCAATTGGAAAACACAGACATTTACAATTCCGATTCATAACAGTAGCAAAATTAGTTATGAAGTAGCAACAAAAGTAACTTTATGGTTGGGGGAGGGTCACCACAACACGAGGAACTGCATTAAAGGAACTGCATTAAAGGGTCGCAGGGTTAGGAAGGTTGAGAACCGCTGATGTAAAACATCCTCCACAGGTTCACGTTTTGAATGCTTGGTCCCCAGCTGGTGGAGGTTTAGACTATGGGGGGAACCGGGCCACTGGGGGCAAGTCCACAGAAATATTTTATCCCTGCTGCCCTTCGCCTTACCATGTCCTACTTCATGTTTTCCCACTGGCATGGTATTTTGCCAAACACGCATGGAAATTCTAAACCAAAGCAGAGTTTTTCTCACTTGAGTTACTTCTGCGTTCAGTAATATGGGAGTTGTAGAAAAGGCTTTTAAATTATAACTCTCTTTTTTTTGTTTGTTTGTTTTGGGGTTTTTCGAGACAGGGTTTCTCTGTGTAACATTCCTGGGTGTCCTGGAACTCGCTTTGTAGACCAGGCTAACCTAGAACTCACAGAGATGCGCCTGCCTCTGCCTCCCGAGTGCTGGGATTAAAGGCGTGTGCCACCACTGCCCGGCCTAAATTATAACTCTGGATTCAAGCCCATCAACCACTCGTTCTACATTTACCGAAAGCTTCTTGGCATATGTCTGGCACAGAGATAATAAACAGAATAAAAGAGACCATTAACAACAGGCACAGGCAAGGTCTTGCTGTTGGGGGCTGGGCTGGGTCTGACTGAGTTGTGTCTATAGGGGATATCAGACAGGGTCTTGACATAGTGTGTGTGTGTGTGTGTGTGTTTGAGTTTGTGCAAGGTTTTAGGGTGTGTGTGTGTGTGTGTGTGTGTGTGTATGTGTGTTTATGCAGAGTCTCCATATGTTGTGTGTTTATGTTAGGGAAGTTAAGCTGGGCCTGCTGTATTGTGTGTAGTATGCTAGGCAGGATTTCAGTATGTTGTATGTATGAAGGAGGGGGTTTAGGAGGGGTCTGGCTATTTTGTGTGTCTACCTCCCAGGTAGTGGTAATAAAGGAATACACCCCGGGGGTTCAGGTTAGGAGTTTGGACTCAGGACTGAATCCACTTAAGCAGCCAAAGGGAAGGTTAAGCAGGTGCTGTTGGGGCGACCACTCCAGCCAGTATGTGTTTGGGTGATCAGCTTGCAGAAACGTGGGGCCTAACTAGGCAGTTCTGGGGACAGGTCTGTGTAATTGCGGGGGAAGTAACTGAATCTCTTTGAGATTCTTAGCCTTAAAATGAGTAAAGTTGCACCTTCTTAACAAGCTGGTGACCCAAAGCATGCAAAGGACACAGGAAAGAGAAGTGTGTAAGTAAGTCCTTTCTATTCCCACCAGTACCACAAAAGCGAGTTGTCTTTGTTCTACAAAGTAACATTGTAAAATATTATTGTTCTTCCATTCTCGGCTGGGCTTAACCCCAGGCTTTTTGCGCCTGCGCCTTGGCCCTCTAGGGCGATGACCGGGAAGCTGCAGACGCTGGCAGTCTCCTAGCAACCAGGTCGCCTGGGAATGGAATCAGCGCTCTGGCTGGCAGACACCAGGAGACTACAGGCACTGTAAAGCAAGTGAGGCCGCTGCAGCGGGTAGGTGCCCGGCACAGGGCATGGGGGGCTTCCTGACCTACCCAGTTCCGTTCACACAGGGCTCACGCCCCCACACCCTGGCTCTCGCCTTTTCATTGGCGGCCGGATTCTTGTCGTGTGTGCCCTTTACAGGAGAGCAGCCCCTGTCCCAGAGACCATGATTCCCTGGAGTGGGGCCCATTTCAGAGATGGCTGCCACCTTCCCAGCCTGGCCCCTTTTCTCCCCTTGTCGGCTGGTGGCTGGCACCAGAGTCTGGCTTGTCGTTTACTTCACAACTGAATCCTGCTCCTGCCGCTAAATGCAATAGTGATCAGGATAATAATTGCAATCAATATATTTCAAGTTCTGGTCAGCCAGGCTCCTGGGTCTCAGTTAAATGACAATGCTGGAAGGGCAGGAAGGAAGCACTCTTATTACCTGATTTTTCAGCTGCAGATACACACATGGAGGGAATGACTTGTCAAGGGTAAACCACAGCCTGGACTATATCCCATTCTTAACCCTGAAGCCACATTGTCTAGTTGTTCAAAGTGTGTGTGTAGGGGGGGGAGGGGAGATAATAACAGATCATTATTTAACCTTCATCCCTTCTTGGGAATGTGTCCTAAACATGTGAATACATGTCTTTGACATGAAGGAGCAAGACCTCTGCTTGAAAAACTTCTAGCTTTACCAACTCCCTAGCCAATATCTGTTTCCTTACTTGTAAATGTGGGCGACTCTTTATGGAGTGGTTGAGTTCGATGCCAGTTAGGCACTAGTTAGGGCTGCCACCGGTTAAGCAGGGACATCAAAGGAGAAGCCATCTTGATGTTTGCTTGGTTGGCCAATGTTTTTCTTCTTGGTGCCTGTGACCAAGGAACCCATCTATCAAGTAGCCCAAGCAGTTTCTTCTGTCATTAAGGACCGAGATTTGCAGTTTGGGTTACTTACCAGGGCTGTGACCTTGAGAAATCTTGTCACCTCTGTCTGCTGGTCTGTAAATCGAGGTGAAAGTGTTCACCTGTGTTTGTCTTCACCGGCAGTCTTGAGGCTGAGATTACTGGGTTCCACATGCTAATAGTAATAACGACAGGTTTGGTTTGCTTTGTTTTGTTTTTCCTTTTATTAGTGATTTCTACAGAGCTTCGTTTTCAAAGCCCTTTGACGGGTGTGGAAAGATGGCTCATGCCCGGATCTCCATGTATATGCCTCCTGACATCGACCCCACAAAGGCTGCCATTGCTTATGGCTGCCGGGCCTTGCCCAAGCTAAATGAGGAGCTGCAATCACCGAATCTCCAGACAAGGCAGAAAGCCTTGGTGGCTCTGTGTGACCTCATGCACGACCCTGAGTATGTCTATGAGGCCATCAAAATAGGTGAGAGTGTCCCACCTCAGGTGGTCATGACTGGGGTCCTGGTGTGGCTCAGACAGTGGACGGCATCAGTAGAAGACTGGCTACTTATTCAGCCTGGTTTCAGGCCAGCAGTACCCCTAAGTGCAATGTTACTTGCAAGACAGGGAACGGTCTCAATCAACAGATATGCAAATCAGTGTCCAGGAGAGCGGCCTGAGTCTTAGGTTGCCTCACCAATAAATTAAATAGAGGGGCTGGAGAGATGGCTCAGTGATTAGGAGCACTTGCTGCTTTTCCAGAGGACCTGAGTTCAGATCCTAGCACCCACATCAGAGAACCCACAAGTGTCTGCCACTCCAGCCTGAGGGCATCTGGGGCCTCTGTCCTCTGTGTGCCCTTGCACTCATGTGCACAAACTTACACACACACACACACACACACACACACACACACACACACACACCCCTATACATAATTTAAAGTAATATAAGTAAATCTTTAAAAATTTAAGCAGGATCTTTATACACTAAATCTGGCATCCGTGGATCTAACCAATTCAATGGCATGCATGTGACCAGTTTGTGGAATGTCTCTCTTTTTTAAATTTTACTTTTTATATTTTCATTATGTGTATGTGTCTGTGGGCGGGTATGTGTTTGTGAAGGCACGTGCCCGTGGAGGTCAGAAGAGGGTGTCTGATCCCCAGAGCTGATGTTATAGGTGGTTGTGAGCTGCCTGATGTGGGTGCTGAGAATTGAACTCGGGGTCCTCTGCAGGAGCAGCATGCATATGGCAGGTTTCCAATCTGACCTCATGTCTCTCCTGAGATCAAAGAAACGTCAAGGGCAACTTTCTTAACCCCAGGGCTGACTACAAGAGGAGGAGTGGACAGGAAAAGTGAGGATTTGGGCATTTAGCTCAGTGGTAGAGTGCTTGCTTTGCAAGCACAAGGCCCTGGGTTCAGTTCCCAGGTCCAGAAGAAAAAAAAAAAAGACAAAACAATAAAAAGACAAAAAACAAAACAAAAAATCCAAGGTAACTGGCACAGATAACGCCAGGCGGTGGTGGCACACACCTTTAATGCCAGCATTTGGGAGGCAGAGGCAGGCGGATCTCTGTGAGTTTGTGGCCAGGAGCCTGGTCTACATGGTGAGTTCCAGGACAGCCAGGGTTACATAGTGAGACTCTGTCTCAAAAAAGTCGGAGAGAGAAGAATTATGAAGAGATTAAGAGAGATGGTCCCGGGTTGTGAACCCCTTCTACTAACAGATGCTGTGCCACTGACTTGACTCCCCCAAACCCAAAGTACAGACCTTTGGTACTTTCCTGTTGCCAAACATTGGGTCACATGCTAACTTCTACCCATTTTTTTTTTTTGAACTGGCAAATGTTCAAAAGCTTTCCTGTCTCCACAGGCTGCCTGGAGAGCCTGAAGGCCCTGCTGAAGGATGATGATAACCTGGTACGGATAAAGACCACCGAGGTGCTGTACATCATGGCCACCCATAACGTAGGCAGGTGGGCAACTACTAATGAAAACCAAGGTCACAGTTAGAAACTGTGCTACCCCCCCCCCCCCCCCCCCCCGGGTAGACATCCTCACATGACCCGAGTGCTCTAACTTCTGTTGGTAGCACTGCTCTCATGTGGTGCTTTTATTTGTTGATGACAATTCTCTCTGTAGGGTAGTTTTGGTTGTCCTTGTGACAGCATAACAGGATTCTGTTCCAAACCCTTTTCTTGGTCCTGAGGGATTAAACCCAGGGCCTCATGCATGCTGTGCAGGTGCTCTACCCTGGAGCTAGACTGATTTTTATGTTAGATCCTGGTTCTGGCCTTCCCCCATTGAAGGCGAGAAGTTCAGATTCAACATCCGCAAAACCTTTGCCGTTCTTGAGTCCCTTGTCTTAGCTGCTCATAGGGAGCGTGGCTTCACCTTTCTGTTGTGCGGTCTGAACAGGCCTCACCTCCTGCTGAGACGCCGAGGACACAGTGTATAATACCTGCAAATGGTCCTCTCCTGTGTCAAGTTTCGCTATTTGCACATAAACGCTATTTCACCTTGCTAGTTAGAGACCCAGTGGCAGTTGGGGCAGGGTGCTTTCTCCCATTAGCTGAGCTCGTCCCCTTGATTAGGGAGCACTAGCTGTGCTTGGTACAAAAGCAGAATCCTAGGTAAGGCTGTAGATCAGTGGCAGAGCATGTGCCCACCACGTATAAGACCCCTTGTTCTGCCTCCAATACTGAAAAAAAAATTAAAAAAAAAAAGGTAGCACTTCGGACCACACCACCATGCCCTTTCCGGAGTCTCCTGCATAAAGACCACTGCCATTGTATAGAGGCTCACAGTGAAAGACAGCAGCTCTGAGGGCAAGCTGCCAACTGTCTCAGGCTTGTTTAGTGTAAATACTGACATTGAGAAAGGCTTCATATCGTACCCAAAGGGCCTCATGTTGTTTCAGAAAAATTCAAAGCCACTCTGGGCTTTGATGTTACCCCATGCTTTCAGACCTTTAGTGACCTCCCTGTACCTGCTTGAGACAGATGCTGCTCGGTGCTGTGGTGGGACATGTAGGGGGTACACAGTGCCAGTCTGGGCCCTAATTCAAGAAGGTAGATCAATGCTCCCATCAGAGCAGTGAGGTAGGAACATGGGCTCTGGCCCGTCGGTGGTGAGGTACCCTTTCCTGCTCTGCAACCTAGCCAAATCTCTTTGTCTCACTTACTTTGGCTAAGAAAACCCCAGGGGAGAGAGGATGACCATTGTGCTCTGGAGTTGGAGACAGACTGTAGTAGCGTTGACCCACCTGTGCTCCCCGAGGAAGCTCCGGATACTGTTTTGGGGGAGGTTGTGGAACCTTTTGGACATGGAGCCTAGTTGTCAGCATGGATTCTACGGGCCACAGCCAAGCCTGGGTTCCGGCTGGACTCGGCCTCTTCCTCTCCCTCCCAATTTGCTGGGATATAAGCAAGTGTGCTATATAAGCTTCTGATACCACAGACAGTTAAGTAGCTGGTCCTACTGACATGCCTTCCCTGCCCTGAAACTGAGCCAGAATACATCTTAAAGTTGTCCCTCCCAAATGTGCTCAGTGCAGGATTCTAAACTTAGCCCTTTCCCTGCACATTACGGTAGATAAGGAAGGGAAATCGTCCCCACCAAATGCTGGTTTCTAAATTCCACCTCCAAATCAGTGTTGACTTCCCCCTCCCCAGTATGCTCTACACCCTTTTCTTTTCCTCTCTCCTTCCCTCCTTATTTCCCTCCCTCCCTTCTTCCCTCCCTCCCTCACTCTCTCCCTCCATCCTTTCTTCCTACCTTTTTGGGACAAAAGACATTGAACTTTGGGGCTTTGTATATGCTAATCAGTACTCTAGAACAGAACTGTACCTCTAGCCCTCAACGGTGATTTTATTATTATGGCTAGTGGCTCACCAAGCCCTAAGTGACTGCCTCAAACTCCTTGTGTTGAAACTTCACCCTCATGTCACACAAGTAGTGACAAGGAGGGACAAGGATGGCCTCCTAAGTGTGGCATCTTGGCACCTTGAGAAGTCAAATCACGCAACACCCTGATGTGCAGGAAGCTCCCTGAGAATTCTGGTCCTTGTTCTTTGGCTGGCACGCTAGCAAAGGAGACACATTCTTTTTTGTTGTTGTTGTTTTTGTTTTTTTTCCGAGACAGGGTTTCTCTGTGTAGTTTTGGTGCCTGTCCTGGATCTTGCTTTGTAGACCAGGCTGGCCTTGAACTCGCAGAGATCTGCCTGCCACCGCCACCCGGCACCCCCCAATGCAATTTTTGATTAATTATTTGGGGATCTCATGCAATGCAGCCATATCATACTCACTTCCCATTCCTCCCAGGGCCACCATCCCACTCTTGTGCCACCCCACCCCAAACAACAGCAGCAGCAACCAACCAACCAACCAAACAAACAAAAACAACACCAAGTCCAATTTGTGTTCCCACATACTCATCTGGAGCGGACAGACTCCCAGGAGGAACCACATTCTTTATAGTCAAACGACTTTCTTAGTTTTAGTTTTTTCTTTCTGGGTGTTTTTGTCTTTAAATTTTTTATTGTTACCAAATAGTCATTGTATAAAACCCATGAATTTCATCATATTTCCTAAGCAGGTGTATCATGTACTTTCTTTATTCCCACACCTTCTGTTACCCAGTTTTAACTCCCATCCCTTCTTCCACTGGTCTTCCTTTTCTTCCTAAATATCTTTTTTTCTTTTTTTTGTAAATCCTTTGATGCCAGGAATTGAACCCAGGGATTCATGCTAAGCACACGCTTTACCAGTGAGTCCCCTGCTGGCTTCTCTCCCTCCCACCATTCCTCCCTCCCTTCCCCTCTCCTTCCCTCCTTGCTGTGTTACTCAGGCTAGCCCAGAACTCCTTGGTACAAATGATCCTCCTGTCTTAGTCCCCTGAGAACTGGGACCAAGAAGCATGCCAGCCAGTGTGCAAAGAATGCTTGGTGCGGAATGAATATGAATCATGGGGAGGAGGAAGGAGGAGAGGAGGAAGCCCAGCAGCTCTGGAGTGGGTGTGTCCTGCTAGCATCTTCTTTTTCTAGAACGGGGCAAATCATCCTCTACGATTAAGTTCTCACCAGTGTCACAGCGCCGTGACTGGCTGGGCATGTCCTTTGTGCTGGACATTTAGCGAAGCGCTTCAGACATGGCTTTATTCCCGAACCCACCCTGACAGGTGTGACCTCAGAAGACTCCTTTGCAGATGCTGTTGTCTGCTTCAAAGAAATGGTTCACAGTCAAGGAATAAAAGATACAATGAATTTCCTTTAAATCAGCCCAATGAACTCAAAATCACAAACAAGACATTTGCCGATCCTTGTGTGAGACCCAGGCCTTTTCTAGGATATGGGTCCATCAGGTGGTGGTTTCTATGGACTTTTCTGCTTAAACCACCAGTTTGATTTGCAGCATGTATCTCAAAAGCACACTAAGATAAAAAAAAGACACAATTGCAATAATCTGCCCACAAAAATGTAGAATATCTTACAGTCACCTCCCTTTCTTTGAGATTCATTTGAGTTTTTACATAGCATTCAAAATTTCTTTCAAGAGGAAATAAAAATAGCTCTTCATTTAATTGGCTTACCTAATATTTAATTAACTTACATGTTGTTAGAACAAACGTAGAGGGCAGCCGTGGGTCTGGAGGGCAGCAGAGGGCTGCAAGCAAATGCGTAAGTCAGTTGGGAGAAGGCAAGAGAAGGAAGGACTGGGAAGAGTCTGGGGGTGCCAGGCTGTGAAATCTCTCCCTGGGAGCCAGAGCTGGAGAACAGCGGTGAGCTCAGCTCCACTGTGTAGGCAAGGTGGGTTACAAGTTTCTGCTGCTATGTGCCACTTCACAGGTGGCCGGACTGATGCTCGAAATGTTGAAAAGAATCCAGGCTAGAAGGATCCAGAGACATTGCTCGAAAGTGAGAGGACTGTGGTTCTTGCCACCCCATAAGCCACTACGCTTTGTGTTTATGACCTCCCAGGTTTCTAGAAGGTGGAAGATCTCTCTGGCTTGAGATAGCATGGATTCCAGCAGGGTCACTGACTTGATCTTATCTAAAGCTCTTCAGAGATCATAGGGCTATAGTAATAAAAACAGCACTGCACTGGTATAAAAACAGACATATTGGTCATTGGGATAGAATTGAGACCCCATATGTAAGCACACATGTAACAAAGTTTCTCGGGTCCCACCCGGCCCCTCGGTCCTGTAGCCACTTATAAAATAACCATTCAGAGGCTTATATTAATTACCAACTGTATGGCCTATGGCAGGCTTCTTGCTAGCTAGCTCTTTCATCTTAAATTAACCCATTTCTATTTATCTGCGTATCACCACGTGTCCCTGGTTTTACCTGCATCCCATTACATGTTGCCCCGCCCCCACTCCTTTTTCCTCTCGTTATCTCTCTTGGATTTTCCTACCTGGTTCCATCCTGCCCTGTTATAGGCCAATGCAGCTTTATTTACTAACCAGTGGGAACAGCATATATTCACAGCATACAGAAAGAAATCCCACAGCACTTCCCCTTTTCTGTATAATCAAAAAGGAAGGTTTTAACATAGTAAAATTATATATAATAAAGCAGTTATCAAGCAAGAATTACAGTTACGATATCTAGTCTATTTATATTTGGCAAAATTAGAAAATATTCTACCATCTATCCTATTTTATGAGTCTAAAGTTTTATATCTAATTTATCTTTTATCATGACTAAGGAAAGCTATAATTATAACTATCTAGTCTTCAACTCCATCAAAGACCCTCAGAAGGATATAATCTTACCTAAGTAAACAGGAAGTGCATTGTAAGCAACTTGCAAAAATCTAGAATGACAGAGACATCTGACTGCCTGGACAGTCACCTAAAGTTCCTCTGTAATGTTGGGGCATCCATCTTCAGCCTATAGGCCTAGAGTTTCTCAGTTGCTTCTCCCTGAAACTTCTGCTACACACACACTCTTATAGCCAACTGATTTTTGACAAAAAAGCCAAAAATACGCATTGGAGAAAAGAGCATCTTCAGCAAATGTTGATAGTCAAAGAAAATAGCTATGTGTGGAAGAACGGAAAGATAGCCTTATTTCTCACCTAGCACAAAATTCAACTCCAAATGGATCAAGGACTTCAACATAAGTCTTGATACCCTGAATCTGATAGAAGAAAAAGTGTAAGGAATATACTTGAACTCACTGGCACAGGAAAGGACTTTCTGAAAAAGACACTGATAGGGTAGGCACTCAGACCAGTAATTAATAAATGAGACCTCATGAAACTAAAGAGCTTCTGTACAGCAAAGAAAACCACCACTCACATGAAGAAGCAGTCTACAGAATGGGAAAAACGATCTACCAGCTACGCCATTCATAGCTAGACGATACAAAGAACCAAAAAAACTAAACGCCAAGAAACAGCCCAGTTAAAAATGAGGCATAAAAGTAGTTAATCAGAGAGTTCTCAAAAAATGAAATACAAATGGTTGAGAAACATTTTCAAACATATTCAACATCCTCTGTTATTGGGGGAAATGCATGTTAAAATGAATTTGAGATTTCAACTTACTCCTGTCAGAATGGCTAAGATAAAAAAAAAAAAAGACAAAGTTAGCCTGGATGTAAGGAAAGAAGACTACTTCTTCACAGCTAGTGGGAGTGTAAACTGGATGCAGCCACTGTGGAAATCTGTGTAGTGGTTCCTCAAGAGGCTAGAAATAGATCTACCACACCATCCAGCTATACCACTCTTGAGCTCATGCCCAAAGGACTCTGTATCCTACGGTATCCATAACTGATCAGCCATGTGATAAAGCGCTGCTTTATTCACAATATCTAGGACATGGAAACAACCCCAATGCCCATAAACTGATGAATGGATAACTAAAATGCAGTGTATTTACACAACAGAAGAGCCTTCAGCTGTTAAGGCAAATGAAATTGGGTTTGGAGAGACAGAAGAGTGGTTATGAACACTTGTTGCTCTTGCAGAGGACCTGGGTTTGGTTCTCAGCACCCACATGGTGGCTCCAGTTCCAGGCTTTCTTCTGACTTCCTTGAATACCAGGTGCACATGTGATATATACACATACACGTAGGCAAAACACCCATAACACATAAAATAAACAAATCTTTAAAAAAACGAAGAAAAGAAACACGAAATGGTCTTTTGATGTCTAAACCCATCTTCCCTTCCTTAGAACTGGCTTCTTAGAGCATGACATCATCCTAGCCCTGTCACACCTGCTGGATGATCACCAGGTCGTCTGCCGGGAGAACCTACACCAGGCATTCAAGCATCTGGCACAGCTGCCTGCAGGTAGGGTTGCTTCGCACATGGGATCTGGTGTATGACTGTTCGTGGTCTTCCCCTCCGGGTCACTTGGTGCAAGGCTGCAGATCACAGTCCTTGGTCCTTTTTTTTTTTCCTTTTAAAATGACCTCGGGGCAGGTCTGTACAACAGTGTGCAACCTTGTACCCCCAGCTACTCCCAAGTGCTGAGGAGGACCAGCCTGGACCGCAGAATAAGACTTTGTCTCAAAACCATAGTGGCAGCAACAAAGTTAGCTTTTTGTTCCAACATGACAAATGTATTTTACCAAGTTGGGAGTGTAGCTCAGAAGTAAGAGAAAGACCCCGAGTCCTATCCATTTCTAAAAATGCAAATAAGCAAATGTTTAGTTTAATCTGTAACAAATGAACACAAATAATAAGCCTCGGAGCCTCCCAAGCCTTTCCACAGGCCTGATTCTGGGTTCCTCTTCCTCAGGGTGACTTCTTCAGTTGGTAAGGCCACATGCTGGGTTGTCTGGTATTTTTTTTTCTTTTGGGGGTAGTGGTATTGAACCCAGGCTTCACATGTGCTGACCAATACTCCATCGTGGAGTTTACATTCCTAGTTCAGTTTATGGCTCTAAGCTTTATGAAGATGAGAATATTCAGTCTATACTATTTCTATTTCAGTTTTGAATGCTTTCGTTTAGTGTTTCATTGCTGGATCATAAATGATTTTGGAAGGCTAGGATTCACATTAAGTGAGTATACTAGAGTTTGTCTATTCTGCCGCCAAGGGACATCTGATTGTATCCACTTAAGGCATAGATACAGTCCAAGCACTCTCTGTATCTCTCCACACATAGTACCCTTCCTCTTCATCTCCCTCGAGCTGCTAACAATTTAGTGAATATAACCCTAAACATGTACATGGATTTTTGCCACAGATATAGTAAATGAAAAAGTATATATATATATATGTATATACACATATATATAATGCTACTTTGCATATTTTAAGTCTGTGTTAAGTGGGTCTTGCTGCATGTATCCCTTTGCAACTTAAAAATTCCCTAAGAAGTAATATTATAATTTTGAAAAGTATTATTGTATATGTGTTGTACATCTCCTTCCACACAGCATCACAGTTGATGATGATGATGATGATAATGAGAGAGAGAGAGAGAGAGAGAGAGAGAGAGAGAGAGAGAGAGAGAGAGAAATGATTTGTGTGTGGAGGGCAGAGGGCAACTTTTGAACTTTTGGGAGTTGGTTCTTGCCTTCCACCTTGTAGAGGTAAGGTTTGGTTTGCTCCTGATGCTGTCCTGCATACTCCAAGTTAGCTGGCTTAAGACTTCTGGGCAATTCTGGTTCCACCCTCTGTTTTTACCTTAGGAATGCTGGGATTACAGATGCCTGCTACTGCATCCATTTAAAAAACAAACAAACAAACAAACAACCATAGATTCCAGGTCACCAGGAATGTGTGACAAGTGCTGCTACCTGTGGAGCACCTCACTAGCCCTAATATTATAATTTTGAAACATACCCATGTTGTATCGAAGGGTCTTATACTCTCACTGCACTCTTTTGTCATTTGAATGTATTATGTTCTGTTTTGTTCTTTGGGTTTTTTGAGACAGGGTTTCTCTGTGTAACAGCCCTAGCTATCCTGGAACTTACTTTGTAGACCAGGCTGGCCTCGAACTCACAGACATCTGCCTGCTTGTGCCTCCCAAGTACTGGGGTTAAAGATGTACACCACCATGCCTGGCTCTTGAATATATTGTGACATGTTCCCATGTTGGTTGTTTCCACTTCTGGGATGCAGGAGGAATGAGGAATGAGCACCTCTGCACAGACCTTTCTGGTTCACAAGAGGGATGCCCTAGAGTCTGCTAGGGAAGGTGATGCTGGCCTTAGATGCCTGCCTGCTTTCCCTTTGCAGGATGCCAGAACTGCTTCCCAGTCTACCCTCCCCGAGGCAGTGGCATCTTTATCAGTTAGCCCAATGGTGTGCTGTGGTAGATCACTGCCATATGATGTTGCCCGCGGGTGTGACCAGTGAGAATGAACATCTCTCTGCTCGGCATTACCTCAGGCTCCTCTCTGCTCAGTGCCTCTGGGGAGCTGGGATCCACCCTGCCAATTAATTCTTCTACTTCTTGTTAACATGAAGGAGTTGTCCCAGATCCCACGTGTTTGTTGATCACCTGAACTGACAATATCATTTTTTTCCCTGGACTGGCTGGGTAGCATGATGGTTAATCTCCATTGCCAACTCAATGAGACCTAGAATCACCTAGAAAACAGGCTCTGGGCATGCGCTCTCGGGACTGTCTTGGGCATGTTATTTGGTGTGGGAAGACCCAACCCACCGTGTGTGGCATCATGCCCTGGGCTGGGATCCTGAAGAAAAGGAGAAAGTGAGCTGAACACATGAATCAGCCACTCTCTTCTTTATGATTGTGAATGTGTCGATCACTGACAGCTGCCTCAGGCTCCCGCTGCTGTGACATTCTTGTGATGGGCTATTCCTGGATCTCTGAGTCAAATAAACCCTTCCTTCCGTTAACTGCTTTGGTCAAGAGTATTTTATCACAGTGACAGGAAAACTAACGGAGATAGGTCGCTTCTCATTATTTGTTCCTTTGTTGACCTGAAAGTTCTTCATTTGGAAGTCGGTCTCACCAGCCATTCCTTTGTGCTTCCCCAAAGTGGGGGATTGCTACAAAAGACAGTCCCATTTATCCTGAGCTCGTGAAGACATCCTGCCATGCTTTCCAGGAAATAGGAGCCTTTATTTTCCACTTTTAGCCTGTGAAGGTCATACCTTGAATGGAGCTTTGCCCATCTTTCTAGACCTCACCAATCAATCCTGCCAGAGTTCTGAAAGCTCTGGTGTTCTGGGCTCTCTCGGATGCTCCCCGTCTCCCTGTAGAACCCAAACAACATGAGTGCGGCGTCTGCTGTGCAGACAAGCCCAGTGAACACAGCCTTTCCAGAGACCGAGGCATCAGCTCTTGGCCCCGGGGCCTTGATGGGTGCTGGTCATTGTGGACGAGGTCCCCAGGAGGGAGGCCCAGGCAGCCTAGTGGAAGGATTGGCAGCAAGGGCTTGGGGTGGTGACCGGGAAAATGGGCAGAGGGAGGAAGGCAGTGTGGTGGATGCCTGGGTCGAGATGCATCTTGGGACCACTTGGGTGCTGTGGCTTTGGGGTTCGCGGGGGGTGGCTGTATGTCGCATGGTGTCCTAGCTGGGCTTCTGGGTGTGACATGGACTTCTACTTCAGCATCTCTCTTATCAGTATGTAACCTTGGGCAGTAGCTAGTTGGTGGGAGTCTGTGTCGTTTGTTTGGATGCTCTCAGCTAGCTTGAAACATATGTTATGGGGCTTCCTGTCCATGGCCACAATGAAGGTTTTTTGGTTTTTTTTTTACCATGGCATCCTTGATGCCTGCTGCTCCCATGGCACCACCAGCCTCTAGAGTATCTTGCGTGTAGCTAATATTGTTTAGCAGGTGGATGTACCTGCAGGTTTTTTTCCCTTCCAAATCTTTGGTGCTACCAAGGTCTGACTTGTTCCTAGAATAACCAGCAGGGGGTGCTCCAGGACTAGGGCCTGTCCCAGTGACGGGCTTCTTAGGTCCTACGGGGTTGCCCTGTTGGGAGAAGAAACCAAAATAGAAGCTGTAAATGCCACAGAGGGGCTGCCAGGCCAGGCTCCCCAGAAACTGGTGGCCGTGAGTTCCCACCCAGGGTCCTCCTTTGTTTCAGGCATTGACTGGTTCTCTGGATGAGTCTGGCCTGGCCCTTTCTCACGTAACTTCCTCCTGCTTAGCCTGGTTCACCGATGTTGGCCCAGATATAGTGGTGGCAGTGTAATTTACTATCTCTGGTCCTGATGTGGGCTGCCTGGCCTTGGGTCAAGCCCCGGTGGTGAATGCCGGTATCCTTTCTAGCCAGACATACCCACAAACAGCCAGAGATGGCGTACAGCCTCCATCTGTGGAAATCATTCCCTGGCTTCGGACCACGTCTAGATCTCAGTGGGGGCAGCGGGCACCACAGGAAGATGTTTGCATGCGGTTTTGAACCTGGGAAGGCTAAAATGCTGCAGGGAGCTTCCCTGGAGTCATATTGTCTGGGCTCGACTGAGATCCGGGAAGCTGTTCCCACAGGGAGCTGAACCTGTAGGGACCGGCTTATTCCCTGAAGTGAAGGGCTGCTGAAGAAACTCGCCCTTCATTAGTATACCTCAGCCCCAGCTTGGCAACCCTTGTTCTTCTGCAGCATCTGCCTCAGTTTCCTGGCAGCTGAAGTAGTTCTGGGAAGGCCCCCCCTCAACTCCCCCCCCACCCCGCCGCTCCTCTTTTGTCTGACACCACCCCCATGTCCTTAGACTGACAGTCCAAGCTGCTCCTGTCTCTGGCCTTAGTTAGGACAATGACTGATTACAAGGACCTATTTGGTTTCTGGGCTGCTGTCAAGAGTTTCTGGGTACCTCCCCCTATCCTCTCTACCCCCTGGCACCTCCAGCAGGACAGGTCCTTTACCTGGCTAGCCCGTCAAGACTGACCACAGTTCCAGAACTTACCCTCACCACCTCTCTTGGGCCAAGAAGGCTTTCTTAGCTGATTCCATTATGTTTTCACAGTATCCCCTAGGGTTCAAAATAGCCCATTACCAATGGAATTACCACAGGGGCTGGGTCCCCTGGGGCCACACTCTAGGCTGTTCTGGCTGGCACCTGATGCGGGAACTACCCCAGTCCTGAAGCTCCCTGTTAGGCCTCTGTCGGTGAGATGAGTCCCCCAAGAGTGCTATCTCTAGCTTCTGGTGGCTGCTCATCCTCATGGTGCAATGCCGCCCTCCATGACATTGACCCCTGTGCCAGCTGGGACCACTCTCTGCCCATTTGTTTTGGATGTCTGCTATTATCCAGGGTCTAGACAGACCACTACAAGCCTTAGACGCTGTAGACTGGCCAAGTCATTTGCTATGCTGTTGGGTGATGAGAAGTTGTTCCGTTGAGGTCTCTGCCT